GACGGACAGGAAGGCTTCGGGCCTGTCTTCCGGGAAGTCATGAAAACGGATAAGCCTGCAGTCGTTAGTATCGGATCGGATGACTTGCCATCCTCCATGATGGAAGGAATAGAATGGCGCGGCTTCGGGGACCCTTGCCGAGAGATTGTCATCTGTCCCATTCACCCCACCACGGGTGAGAATATCCTTGGCTTCCTCATTATGGGTATCAATCCAAGAAGACCTTATGATGATGACTACAACCTCTTTGTTCAATTGCTCAGCCGACAACTTGCTACATCACTGGCTTCCGTAGTCCTTTTCGAAGAAGAGATACGCAGGGGCCAAAGAGCAGCCCGGCTAGCGGCAGAAGACCGGTACCATCTCTCTACACAGCTTGCTGCACGCACACAGGAAGCCCGAGAAAGCGAGACCAGGTTCACTCGCATGGCCGAGTTATCACCAGCAGGCCTGTTCATTGCTGACCATGTTGGAAGAATAACGTACTGCAATGACACTTGGTACGAAATCGCACGAGTACCAAGAGAGCCCGAGATGACGGATAGGTGGATTGAGTACGTCAGAGATGAGGATCAGCCACTGATTCTTGAGCATTGGGAGCGACTGGTCAACGACACTACGCCCATCAATCTCGAATTTCGATTCAAAGCACCTTGGGAAGATAGGGACCGCACAAAGAGCGACACATGGGTGCTGTTCTCGGCTTTCCCTGAAAAAGACGAACACGAGCAGCTCAAAAGTGTTTTTGGTAGCATCACGAACATCTCGCCTCAAAAATGGGCCGAAGGGTTTCAAAAGCGGAAGATGGAGGAGGCTGTTGAGCTCAAACGCCAACAAGAGAATTTTATCGACATTACGAGCCACGAAATGCGAAACCCCCTTTCCGCTATCCTCCAATGTGCCGATGAAATCTCTACTATCCTAGGCGATTTTAGGGCTTCAGGCTCTCAAGTCATCGAGCCGGGTATTGTAGCCGACTCTATAGACGCCGCGCAGACGATCGCCTTGTGTGCACAACATCAGAAGCGCATCGTCGACGATGTCTTGACGTTGTCGAAACTCGATAGTGCAATGCTTATGGTACGTTTTTCTTTTTTCTTTTTTTTCGAAAACAGCATTTGGGTCGTCTAACATGTTTGATAGGTAACGCCGGTAGATGCGCAGCCATTACAAGTCGTACAGCGTGCTTTGAAGATGTTTGAAGGCGAGGTCCAAACGGCCGGTATACAGATGGAGTTTGTCCTCACTGATTCATTCACAAGTCTAGGGGTCGACTGGGTCAAAATTGATCCGTCGCGAGTCTTGCAGGTGAGCGGAAAAGTGCATACAGTAGTTTCTTTTGTAACTAATCTGGGCGCAGGTGCTCATCAACCTTACCACAAACGCCATCAAGTTTACAACAACTGAAGAAACAAGGACTATTAAAGTAGTTCTCTCAGCATCTCGAGAGCGTCCATCGGCGCGGAACAACCCTACAGTGAACTACTTTCCCATGCGGGCCAAACGGATAGACCAGACATGCGGTCCCGACTGGGGAGAGGGCGAAGAGATCTTCTTGGAATTTGCAGTCCAAGATACAGGCCGAGGGCTAACTCCAGAGGAAAAGAAACTTCTTTTCCAGCGCTTCTCGCAAGCAAGTCCACGAACTCATGTCCAATACGGTGGATCTGGCCTAGGCTTGTTCATCTCACGGGAGCTCACTGAGTTGCAAGGAGGCGAGATTGGTGTCTCTTCTGAGGCAGGGAAGGGAAGTACATTTGCCTTTTACGTCAAGTGCAGGAGGAGTATCGAGCCAAAAGACACATTGGAAGTTCTTCCGGCTTCCTTGTCTCGAAAGGTGTCCAATGCGAAAGATAAGGGAAGGACTGGACTACATGTACCGTCACAGTCGAAAACAATAACCAAGGACTTTGCGATTGTGCCAAAACAGGATAATACCACACCAAATCCAAATCCAAAGAAGGAGATCAAGGTGCTCATCGTAGAGGACAACTTGGGTATGTTACCAAGTCTATTCACTCTACCTGCATCACCACTAACGCTCTCTAGTCAACCAAAGAGTCCTTCAACGCCAACTCCAAAACCAAGGCATACAAACCATCGTCGCAAATCACGGTGGTGAGGCTCTCGAAGTCCTGAAACTATCCACCTTCTGGGCCTCCTCTTCGTCGTCCACCGCTACCACCACACCTCCGACCGATATCTCGGTTGTCCTCATGGACAAAGAAATGCCAGTCATGGACGGTCTCCAATGCACGTCCAGAATCCGTGAACTAGAGCAGCACGGAAAGTTCAAGTGCCACGTCCCCATAATTGCCGTCACGGCCAACGCTCGTAGCGAGCAAATTGCTACTTTACTAGCTGCCGGTATGGACGATGTTGTCAGCAAGCCCTTCAGGATCGGCGAGCTCATACCCAAGATTGAGGATCTGGCTAGCCGTTTTGGGAACAAAAAGCCAGTCTCTGATGATTCTGCTTTGAAAGTCCCGACTGGACCTAGTGTACAACCGTACGGTGTATGACGAAGTACATGAAACGTGATTTTGCTTTTTTTCGCACACATTTTTGGGCGTTCTGCCTGCATCGGCCTTTGAAGCAGTCGGCCTTGTCTTGTTATCCTTCTTGTTTTTCCTCTTGGGTCTTCTTCACAATTTCGTATTAGTAAGCATACACACATCAGGAGTGTTTTTCTTTTCGCGCTCATCAACGACATGGGTTTTTTTCGGTTGTTAATGAAGCATTTTCGATATCTGTATACCCCCCCTTTTCCGCGTTTTCCGGGAAAAACAGCATGAGGGTAATCAGGAATGAGTTGTAGAAAAGTAAAGTAAAGTGCAGTCCAATACAGGTAGATGTATGGGTGAATAAGAATAGCTCAGCGATATGAGTGACCGAATGAAGATGTTATTGGGGATGAGGTTAAACATGCTCTAGCATCCGGCAATTGTGGATTTATGCCCCTACGCTACACGAACCTCCGAACCCCCTAAACTCCTTACCTAATACAGATCTACTCTACACCGGTTACCTCTTCCGTCTCCCCCTCCCACACTAAATACGCCGCAAAGCGAATACGATACAAGAAAACGCCTCGTATCACCTTACACCGAGTACAAGGTGAAAAGTTTACCCCATAGTAATCCTAGCACAAATAGCGAAAGACGCGATATAGCACATTACCCCAGATCCCTAAGCCTAGCCGCTGGAATTATACCATCTACTTGTAAGCATCGCGCTACCAGTCTTGCTCTTTTGCTTTTGCTTCTTTTTTTTAAACAACGTCGGTTTAGTAATACGTCTAATACTGTTTTACGCCAGTAAATACCCCCTTGCGATTTGAGAACGGCCATTCTCTCGATTGATTGATCCGGTGAACAACTGGAGCCACCCCGGGCGCAAAGCGGGCTAGCTTAGTACCAAAAAAAATGTATGATTTGAGATGTATTTATATTTATTTTGGGCGTAGAAGTGTAATGGATTTTTTATTTGACTTGAAAAAGAAAGGATAGGGTATACTGTAAGCCTGCTGGAATCGGGTGTGGAAAAACTATGATTTTGTACTTGGGTTTGAACAATGTAGAGTTGGCATAGATTTTTTGGCTTGAAGTTCTGAAAGGATTTGTGTGTGTGTGTGTTGGAAGTTTCTCACCCGAATGTTTTTTTTAACTCTAAGTAAGTGTTGTTGGGTGATTCTATCTCCGACTTCATCGGTTGACCGAGAGTGTATTTGTTAGTAAGAAACTAGTACTGATCATAGTGACTGAAGCGCACACAAATGCTGGACCTATGGTAATCATGCGTGGATCATTTCTACTTATTTATCCCCCCTTATTTCCTAGCAGAAAGAGGCTTATGTAGGGCCATGCCTTTCTTTGTCTTTGCAGGCGATATTAGATTAGCAATCGGTCAAGGGCGGATCCGGGATACCGCGCAAATCATATTGATATCGGGGTCTCTTTCCTGTCCTCCTGACGTACCGGGAACAGCCGGCCGGACAAAGAAACGACCCGTTCCGTGTGGCTTGCTATTCCTATTAGGGTTAAGTGGCACTGTTACACCGACGTCCTGTGGCTACAACGGTCCAAGGTTTTGTATGTGGGTGCGCTAAATTAACGAATCGGCTCTTCGTCGGATGCCTTTCAACCTAGTTTATTACAGGGAAATACTAGACTGGTCTTAACAATTGCGACTCCATATAGTATAGCTCTTGTGCTCTATCCTGACCTTTGTCGTCCCCTTGCTAGTGGCCCACACACAACACGTAGGCCTTGTAGTTAGCACAGTAGTGTGTACTTAAGTCAGATGTTGGGACTAAAACTAGAGACGAAAATTGCCTCTAAAATCTCCAAGGTGGACTGCATTCCCACCATATCTGGTACGCGAACAAACTTTGCCTTTTTTCCTAATTTGGCTACTATTCACTTCATCAATCGTCATGCTAGTGATTCGGATTTTTTTGTTCAGTTCTTCAATCCACTTGATTGATCAATTCAGAGCTTTATTTTCGATACAGTATTAGAAATAGTGCTATAGATAGTAACATGGAAGATCCAAAAAATGAACAGAGGCTGCGCTGTACCGATTTGACACAGGTTTCCATGTCCCCTTTATACTTTGTGCATTCTATGCTCATATTTTCTTCGCTTTGAGGAGAGTTCAAGTTGCAATCAGAGGCGTTCTCCGGGGGCATAGGCAGTCGACGGTAAATAATTAAGCTTTTGAATGACGGCGATTATATTAAGTACCGTTGTGGGGCCGACGGCAACGGCTAAATTAACATTGGCGGCTCCGCAGAGCCAATTCGCCTATCATCGCAACTTTATAGAGCCATGAACATCATGAAAGGAACTCTTGCTCGTAGCAGCGGATATCAATGCATCCGCTGTCCGAAGGGCAGATGCAGCAAGGCTATATATTATTGCAAGATTTGATGGACATCTCTTCATTCTTCATCATCAGCATCTTCTTTTTCTCTTTCCTTTTATCATCACATGACCAACATGAACATTCAACTGCCCAGTAATTGGGCCCATACGGCGCAGACATTTGCAGTTGCTTCCATAATTGTTGCATTTGTTTCGCTGATCCCAAAGATTGAGCACCGATTGAGGCTTTCGAAGATACCGAAGTTGATTGCTCTCACCGATGGCTTACCAGAACATACCTTCTTTGCACAATATGCTACGAAGTTATACCGTCAGGGCTACGAAAAGGTGAGTTTCCTATGGTAGTGACGTAGCTAACAATTAACGAGCTGGTAGTTCAAAGACTCAATATATCGCGTTTCAATAACTGGCGAACTTGAGTGCATATTATTGCCTACTAAGTTTCTACCAGAGCTTAGGAAAAAGCCTGACGATGTTCTGGATATTATGAGCGGCGCACGTAAAGTGAGTGTGCTCGCTATTTTGTGAAAACATTGTATACTAAGATTCCCACAGCTTTTCGAGGTCAAATATACAAAACACGAGGCTCTTGACCTTAACATGATTCACTGCATAAAAGCTAACCTCACACCCGCACTAGGTGACTAAGAACAACATGCTGCTATCTATTCCGTTGCTTACTTCATCATAGGACGCTTGAATCACGACATTACTGAGGAAATTGACATTGCCTTTGAGAAAGAGTTACCGCCTTGCAAAGACTGGACCGATGTAAATGTTCACGACAAGATAGCCAATATTGTAGCTCAGGTATCTGGGCGTATGTTTGTAGGACCGGAAGTATGTCGAAAGCCAGAGTACATTGATCACGCGGTCAACTTCACCACCGACTTCAATGATGCGGTTTTTGCAGTCAAGTGCTGTAACCCCTGGCTTCGACCCTTTATGACATCGCGTCTTCCCGCAATGCAACGCTTCAACGACAGAATTCGACGCGCAATAGAGTTCTTTACGCCTATTATCCTCTCAAGAATGAAGCCCGAGAACAAGTCCGACGATATGATGCAGTGGATGTTGGACTATACTCTGAGCACTGGCAAAAGCAACACCATGTACGAACATGTAAAGCGTCAGTTGGATGTCACTTTTGCGGCTATTCATACAACCACTACGACGGTAGTAAACTGCTTGTATACTCTCACCAGCATGCCCGAATACATCGCGCCACTCCAGGAGGAGATTCGCTCGGTGCGAGCCGCACATGGTGGAGAATTGAATGCCCAAGCTCTGCAACAACTCGTCAAGCTCGACTCTGTTTTAAAGGAAATCGGTCGCATGTACCCTGTGACCGTTAGTAAGTCTTCCAGGTTCACTATGACATATCACATACTAATGAATGTGTAGCGGCTTTCCAACACATGGTCATGAAACCCTTCACCCTATCCAACGGCCAGCAAATTCCCGCAGGCACCATGATCGAAATCCCCCTGGAAGCGCTCAATTACGACTCAAACGTGCATACCAACGCCGACAAATTTCATGGTTTCAGATACTACAGGGAGCGTCAATCTGCCAAGGGAACCGAGGTAGCGCAGTCGCAATTTGTGTCTGCCAACGATCGGGACTTGTACTTTGGATACGGCAGACATGCTTGCCCGGGACGCTTTTTCGCCGCAAACGAGATCAAGATTATCATGGCACGGCTGCTCTTGGATTATGAGTTCAAGATGCCTGGCGATCAGACAAAGCGGTACGAACAGGTCAGCTATGCCAAGTTCCTCACGCCGGATACATCGAAGACGTTGCTCATGAAGCGTACATCCTAGGTGGAGGACCTATGGGGTGTGTGGACAAGTAGTCTTGACAACTTCTGCTCCGTATTGATTACTGGTCTAAAATGCAGCAAGAGTACAAATCTCAGGAAACGTCTCACCTCGATGGACAAGACGCGGTGAACGCGCGCTAGCGTCGGCGCGAACGCTGAAGAAGCTCAAAGCCTCATGTAACAACCTTTTTCTTTTTAGACATGCGCACAATCTCCCATATATCATATGCGATAGATCAAACGATTTGAAAATCCTCTTTTCATTCTCCATTGGATACTATAGCACCTTTGAAATCGCTCATAATGCCCGATACTCAATACCCAATGCCTAATTTGATCTGCAACACCGCTCAAGAAGGATGAGAAATCTGTTCGATACTGTGGCACGATACAAGAATTGAATGAAGAAGGTAGACTATCTACTCTGAAAAGAAAGTCCCAATACATATTCTGCAGTCTGATCACGTGATATTACACCACACTACTCAAACTTCAGAGCCTCCAAATCAATCTCTGCTTCTCTCCTCCTGTACCTCAAAGTACTCTTTGGGTTTACCATGTAGTTGATTCCAAAGGGAGTTAGCTCAACAGTTGTTCCAGGAGCCAGTTCCCAATCATATCTGAGAAGAAGAAAGCTCAGTGCAATCTTGGTCTCATTGGCAGCGAAGAAGCGACCAGGGCAGGCATGAATTCCGTGGCCGAATCCTAGATGGTCCGGGCTCGTGCTTACAAAGTGTGCTTTGTTGGAAAACTCGGGCGTTTCTCGTAGGCGTAACCAACGGTATATATCGAACTTCTCTAGGTTTTCACTTTGGGGCAGGTTTTTTCCGTGGTTGTCGTCTACCATAATATACTGTCCCTTGCGGATAGTAATGTTCTCTTCCGCGATGTGTATATCTTTGGTTGCGACCCGGCGCATAGCCACTTCACATATATCGTCAGCGGGACGGGGTTTTTGGACAACAACTTACGCAAGGACTTACAATGCTCGTTAGGCAACAATCTTTGTGCTTCCTTCATTGCGCTGTCCAACAGCTTCATGTTGTACAGCGAGATTTTGCTCCATCCATCCTTTTTCAGGACACTGATTATTTCTTCCCGGAGGGGTTCAATTAGCTCAGGTTCTCTGGCCAAGAGCAACAAGATCTTTGACAAAAGGTCCGATGTGGTGTGGATAGCAGCAAATGATAGAGTAAGTTGTAGTGAAGCCGGATCATAGCTGATACCTTTACATTCCTGTTCACCCCATTCGATGGCATCGTTGAACTTTGGAACGGGCTTTCCTTCCCTGCGTGCTTGTTCTTTCAGTAGACGACGCTCCTCAATTACGGGCCGAATCAGCTGCTGAGAGCGATGCAGATGTCCACGAACAACTCTGCATTGTTTAGAGAAGAGGGGAACGAGGAATCGAAGACCAAAGGGTACCAGCGTCAAATTGAATGCCGCTTGGAACATATCCACGGTATATGCCTTCGTGATCTTAAGCCAATCTTCGTTGCGACAAAGTTTCTCGCCTAGGAAAACGCGTGATGAAAGACGTGCGATAATGTCCAGCATAGAGTCCAAAACGAGGGTTTCTTGCCAATCTGCTCTGTATTAGACTATGTAGATCATAGAACGAGTACGTAGACTCAAAGTCTTACCAGTGGGATTGCCTAAAGTGTGATCAATTGCGAAGATAGCTTCAGAAGCTAGGGGCTCGGTAACAGTATCTAGACAGGTGCATTATAAGCCTCAATCCACATGAAATCTTTCCTTGATGTTAAACTTACTAAGTAGTTTCGTCAGTGGTTTTCTAGCAAGATTTTGCAACACTTGTCCCTGGTGCTTTACAACTTTTGCAGCTGTAAATCCTGAAACATGAGCGTGGAAGTCCTGGATAATTAGCATTTTTTGACCCATAAAGACAATTGGCAAAATCTACCTGCACGACCGCTTGCGCAAAGCTTAGACCTTCTTCATTCCGGATAGCGTTCACAAAGCGTGCTGGAAGAACAATAATTTCTCCGTTGTTGTTGATATATCGGTATGGCTTGTCAGAGAACCTCTTTCGGGCATCATCCACGATATTAATGCCGTTTGTCACAGCGTCCAACTGATTTATAGTTGTCGGAGCATACCATGCTGGAGGGTTGGCGTGAGGAAATTTGCTGTTTTTTCGACTTAAAATAAGTACTGCAATCACAGCGGCAAGCAATATCGAAGTGGCGACAGGATTGAGGACAAGTGGAGGCAGGCTGGTAAGAAAGACGACCGTTGGAGATTTCAAGGCCTCCATGTTGCCAAACAACCGGAAGCGTTTAGATGGATTTGAGTAAACCAGAGAGTGTGGTAGACGAAGTTTGATTGAAAAATGATGAATCCAAGCATGTGAGAACTGTGGTAGAATTTATATATTTTTGTATCGATCCGGTTCGGATCGATAATGTATCCGACTTCTCTTCCAAGATCTTATCAGAACATGACGTTTTCTGCATATTACATTCTCTGTCGTCAGTTAGCTGAAGACTTGTTCCGGACGCCGAGATCCACTTTGGTCCAAGCCAGCTCTTCTCCTCAATCAACCCTGCACAATCGGTATCTTCAGACTAACGCGCGATCAGCAAAAAGCACTTGGAATATGATATCCCTCTCATTTGTTCTCTTTGATATACGCTGTTATCCAGCTCCTTGTTTGAGTTTGGTTTCGACTCAACAAAACTTAGAGTCCCCCTAAATGCATCAGTCGATTGATTCTTTCATCAATGCAGGTCATATATGATGAGTCTAGAAGGATATCAGAAGCCTCTTCGCTATGGTGCCTCTAGTATCGACCTCAACGTTTGATGTGCGCACTAGGTATACACTGTCGCCATACCCCAATAAGGATAGTAGCCAATGGGTGAGGCGTCGTTCTGCTTCCGGTTCACTATGCTTGAGAAAGCAGGAGACCGCTCGATGCGAGCGGCACGGTATCGTAATCTTCCGTAGCCGATGGCCAATCAAATTCATATGCGACGACAGGAACAGGGTTAAACACTTAGTATGATCCACCCTTAGTTACTAAGGGGTCCACATTGTGCACTTAAATGAAAATGAACCATCATGAGTAACTGCTACTATACATGGTGCTAAATGAAGGCTTCGCATGTAGATACGACGCTGCACTACTTTGGATGGATCTGTCCTCGATCTATACTTAGCGGGTGCTGGTGTAGTAGTATCATACAAAGCCAAACAGTAGAGGGAATGGACAACCAGCTGTGTCGGAGATATTTTAGTTTTCCGTATGAACAAATATTATGATCATCTGCTACTAAAAAGTAGCTTAAGAAGTGGAAGAAAAGCCCCTGGTTTCCTATTACGGAAAGTCATGCGTGATCGCTGTCTGGCATTGATGCCCCCGTCTCCCCGTGCGCGCCACACATATTCCCCATGCGCACCGTATTCTCCGTATGTGCCGTATTCAGCGTATGAATTGTATGCATCATGTGCCCTATATCCACAGTATCTACTCGGAAGTGACGTATTCCGCTCCCGCTCCCGCTCCCGCCAAAATCTGGCTCGGAGAAGGATGAATGGTCCAAAGCACAGCAGCGTGTGCATATATGCCTACACTTGCCGTTCTTATGTAAATTTCAATATACTTCGTCCGATAAGAAGACCTTGCCACTAGAAGCTTAGTGTGGAACAGGCCATTGACCATTCCGTAGGTCAACTCAACCGAATCAAGCCGATAGACAGAACCACACCTATACGTTCTGGCGAATGTATTGCGACTCTGTGTATAAGCCAAATTACTTGCAACGGCTATTCGACGTCTGATCCGAACAGGCTTTGTGCGTCTCGAGGAGGGTTTCTTGGCAGGTTTGTGTGGGAGAGCAAGATCGTCTACAGGAAGCAGGTTAGCCGACCGTGGGAACCTGTCGCATTGCCACTAGCCCATGTATGTTACGTATTGTGGTCAAAGGTAAGATAAAGCCAAGATATTACAATACAGATGGAATTGTTAGAGTGCATGAAATCGACAAGTATCAATCTTCATTGGGTCTATCTAGTGGTAACCCACTACCTGGTGGACAAAGTTCCCAAGACTCTAGCATGGCTTCACCTACGCCTTTTTTTCTAGGTCTTTCATACTAACAGACAATGATTTAGAATGAGATTACGATAATGAGTGTAGAAAACAATTACTATAGTAATGCTATAGTGCTTCCACGTTGGTCGATTTTGGTAGAGTGGTGGCATATGCCGAGTCCCAGCAGCAATTTTGTCCACCAGGTACCCGTTAACAGCTCATAGGCATGCAATATGAACAGTCTTCGGGCCTGTTTGGTTGCGCGTTTTGCATTTGCGTTTTTGATATCTGTTGGGGTATAGAGCTTCGACAAGGGGAGGGTGGCTAGCGTTGCGGTTAGGCTTATCCAGGTCTGGATAGCTGGTGAAAAGCTGATTACGTGATGCGGTTGATCTACCAGAACCGCCATTAAGACTATCGGATTGAACAGTTACGTGACTGAAAATGTAGTTTTGAAATCTAGCTGGAGGTCGAGAGGTACGTCTGGAAATCGCATTTTTTTTTCCTTTCCTAATAGAGGGAAAAACAAGAGTAGAGTAAGCACTAGATAGGGCTTAATTTAGTATAGTAGGGCTAACAGAACGTAGTAAAGGTGGATACCTTGAAAACGCGCGTTTTCACTGAACACAACAGCGTTTCTAAAACACAAAACGCAACTGCAAAACGCTCAACCTGACATATCCTCAGCTCCTTAAGAGAACTACATATTCGCTATGCTAAACACTTCTTTACAGCATACTGAAGTGGAAAATCTCATAACTGCGCAGTGACTTCACGACGAAGCAAGTAGAGTGTGATTCGCTGTGAGAACAGCGTGGAGATTGATCACATGAGATGATTCATCTCCACGGACACTACTGGATCCCAGAATCATCTCCTTCTTGAAAACTCAAATCCTAAAAGACTTTTCTACGAAGGTTACAAGACACTATTAGAGACAGCAGATACAATAGCTGCTTTGGAACAATCTAGCAGCACTCGGGAAACAAATGAAGAGTCTGAGTGACCGCGGACCCATTGGCTGTTTGGTCAATCCACGAAACGTGTTACAGTCCAGAAACCCCTCTTGGTATAATGCCACTAACAACGCGCCATCCCTAGACTCAAGTCTCATTGGTATAGCTATTCTATGCAGCAGGATCACCACTACTTGCTCGCACCTCAACATCGAAGAGGTTATGGGAGACTAATTGAGATGGAAGCTGATACGAGCTAACACTGGTCCCTGTCGATCTTTCAAGTATATTCATTGCGGGCTCTGTACTATATGTTAAGAACAATCCCATTCCTCAAGGCGCCAGTCTTTCTCTCGACCAGGGTTCTATTTAATCTTTTATACTCAATGAATGACGAAATCTCTTCCATTAAGTCGTAACAAAGTTAAATTGCTACTCCAAACGAAAGTACTAATTGCGTTTGTAGTTTCATGACTGTTGAAAAAGGTGGTCACACTCTCCGCTAACCCACTATTACAACACTACCAACGGTGCAGTGAGCTATGAAGCACAACAGCCTAATCTTACTGCGCTAAAGAGTCTACCAAGGCGTAATTTGTTCAACAATAGCACATAGAGGTCGTATAGCTATATATCGTAGCATAATCTACTACAAATCTAGCTAGCGCTTACCCAAATTACCGCCAATAACACCGGGTTATGCTTCAAATTGTTGCACTAAATCATCACTTATTTTACCCTTCCATCCAATTCCTTCCAAAACCCGCTAAGCGCCATCTATCTGGTTATGTAAACGCAGCAATTTGGTAGCTTAGTAGCGCCGAAATAAGCATAGCATGTCGTGCAAATCGCCCGGTCATCAATGGCTTCATTTCCGGATTGCGAAATTGGAGAAGAAGAAAAGTAAAAAAAAAGGAGCATGGAACAGGCATGGTATTCTAGTTTGTTTGACCGAGTCGAAGTGCCAGAGGTAGTAGTGCCTTTGAGAGAAAAAAGAGCTGTGCGCCCGCGAATAAGGTACTATAGGTCTGCAAGCCCTACTTACATCTCTTCATCAGCTTGCAAAAGTCAGAAGTTCAAACCTCACCACCCACAATGCACTTCAACATCCTCACAGCAGTAGCTTTTCTCTCCCTCGCAGGAACGAGCATGGCCGATTGCACGATGTATGCGAATCTCTACTGTGAAAACCAGGGCGGAGCGCATCCCATGGCAACCCCTTATAGGGTAATTATCGCAGCTTCCTAACTTCGATTAACGATTTACTGATTTTGTGAAAAAAAAAGTGTTTGGCTACGCCGAGTGATCCTAGTAATGCAAAGGGTCCGTCGAATAATTGGTGTCGGTTCGTTAGGGGTTTCAATGATACGAAGTGGTATTGTGTAAGTTTCATGCTTTGTTTTTTTAAAGGGGGTTTGGGGTTAATGGAGATTTAGTGCGATCGATGAATTGGTGGGCGATTTGGATGCGAGATTGACATTGGGGAGGGTGCAAAGGGGTTGCGCTTTCGTCCATTGTAGGATGATTCGTTTTTTAGTCTTCGGTGGAAAATAGCTCCGATGGCGCAATGCAAGTAATTGGCACTTCCAATGTCTCTTTGATCCGGTTGTGTTCAAAAGGCTGGAATATACCTAGTGGTACTTAATACAATACGAATCTTTCTCTTTTAAAAGAAGAAAGTAAGCAGATCGTTACCAATTTCAAACAAGCCCGCGGAGATACTCGTCCTACAATCAGCAGGCCACGCATTGTTCCAGATGCATCGACGACTACCGACCTTGATCACGTAGCTCCATACATCAAGACCACATCAAACCATACCAAACACCAAAACGCAACCTTTCTCTTTATCAAACAGCGATTTCAAAACGAAGAGACACAACTGTTTTTTCACTATTCTCTTCTCACACATACAATCCACAACCCTACACCCCATACCTAAACTCCCTAACCTTCTTCTGATAATACCACGTCGCAAGCGCACCCGTAACCCCCAGCGCAATCGGCACCGGCGCGCGTCCCCCCGTTTTAATAATCCTCGGAACCGCCGATCCAGTCAACATGATACTATTTCCCAGCGCAAGTTCCGTGCCGTAGTCTTGGTTTTGCTTGATGCGGTAGCCTGGGTCACGTGTTAACTTTTACTATACTTTGAGCATTGCAAAAAGAAAAAGGTCTGCGCATGGGCGGAGGCTTGTTTTAAGGAAACTTTTTTTTGCGTATAGCAAGAGTGCCAATGGGTAAAAGTGGTGGTGGATATGCGGGGAAAGACGTTACCTGCTAAAGCGTAACTGGCTCCCAATCCGATCCCAGCAACAAGGCTGGGTGTTGAGCGGGTTCGGAGATAGCCTGCTGTGCCTCCGACGGCGACTGCGGGTTTTGTTTAGTGGGATTTGCGCAATGCCGGCATGTGCGGGCTTGTGAACTTACGCAGACCTGCGAGTGTGAAGGAAGGGTGTTCTGCCATTTTTCTTGTTACTTGCAATGGATTGAGAGAGATGGATGTGTAGGTGTTTTTTGCGGGATGAGGTGGAAATATGTATGGGCGCCGGGGGGGGGGTGTCCTAGTGCGGGAAAGCGGCGGGATGCCGGAGTGCCAAGGATCCAGATGGCCATTTTTTTGCGGCATGTTGGAGCATATGAAGAATTTTGGTAGTGTTTAATGAATTATGATGGGGAACCATTGAATTACAGTTGCAATTGGGTATTTTACTAGTTTTGAATAAACACTAATGGGTATTATATGACAAATTCGTAGAATGGGGTATGTCCTCCAAATATTACAACCGTACAGTCTGTTGCGCCAAATAAGAGAGGTAAATCCACAAATGTGTATCGCCTTCGTCTTTTGGAGGCAAACCCGAAATAAACGCCTTTTAAGGAAAATCATTAAGCCAACCGACTCGTCAACTACGTTGAGTAGTCCCGTTAGGAGCTCTGCACACTCAAACGATAACAGAGTGGCTCACGCTATACCTCACGGCTGGTGGTGCAAAAGCCGAATAGTCCGGTGGCAGATCCTCTCTTGTTGCAAAGCTGGAGCTGCGACTGGCTTCTGAGCTCGACGGAGGTGCAATGCTGCGTGGCGCCAACACATCGGCAGCTGATCGGAATGCGCTTTCCTCCACACTGCGCGCGCGGGCATTCTCGATACCTGTGTCGCTGCCTTGCGCGCAGATTTGGATTGGGACCTTGAGGCTCATGCTCAAGCTGCTGTGGACTGAAAATTGCAATGTGAGAGCGTAAATGCGTGAGATTAGGCAGGAGTGGAAGGTCGGGATGAAGTTGCGTGTCATGGGTAGGGTGATGGGAACCAGGACTTGAGTCGTATAAAAGACGCCTTGATTGTAGGCGCTCGACCCCGGAAGAATGCCATTCGCAAAAGCTTCTTCGCACTCACTGTTTGTGGAACAGTCACTAATGCCCGAGTCGCGTCGTAGAAAGCTTGCTGGCGGTGGGTTGGACTCAGCACCGTGCTTTGTCCATTGAGCGGATGCAATGCAGAGAGTGGATAGTGGCACGTATTCTGAATAAAGGCCTTGGGATAGGTCGTATGCGAGGGATGATCGTGTGGGCATGCATTTTCGTGCAGCTGAGGCGTAAAAGGTCGACACCTTGAGTTTTGTCGACAGTGAGCCTAGCTTAGGCGGAAGATTGGTCTCTTCGGCTGGATCGAAGCGGAGGATCAATTTGGCCATTGTCGTAATTAATTTACCCTCTGTTGAACGGGCGCCTGGAATAACGAGAGGTGAGGGTTGGACAGTTCTGGCCGATAACTTTCCTAGCTTTCCTTTGAAGAGCCCTTTCTTTACAGTCCTTTCCTGTCTCTGTCGGTAGTCTGGACTGTTGTCTATGTTGAGAGGTGGCTGCTCGGGAAATGCGGGCTTGACGCGAACCTTTTTGATCTTCTCAGCAAGCACAGAAATGCCTTCGGACCCGCGGATGTGGGCAATCTTGACTTGGATGCCGTAGGTGATCTTGGACATATCTGGCGCTAAATCATCGAGCAACGTACTGCCGAAACCAGCAAGGTCGGCATCTCCGATGCTAGGTGGGAGCTGTAGGTGTGTGTCGCGGATGTGGTCAGAGACAACGTCGTGTGAGCAGGCTCTTGGTAGCAATTGCGATGGGACGGTGAAGGTAAACGGGATCTGATATGCTCTGCCCGCCTCGAAGATTCTTGGATCTGGGAAGATGGATTTGTCTATAGGCTGTCTAAGAGTCAAGAACCGGTGCTTCGCCTCTGTCCGTCCCGTCATAGTCGGCGTAGACGTCATCCTATCTACGTATACTTGACTGGTGCCTGGGGCTGTCAGCTGCGAAATGGTTCAGTCTAGGGATACGATGCTCACATACCGGTAAAGCTAATGTCAATGTCCTCAAAGCGCGTGTCGTGCTGCGCAGTAATTGTTACAGTGCCATCAATAGTATCCATGGAGGAGTAGCTCATGATGAACTTGGATTGGTGGTCTCTGTCTGCATGAAGGCTGATATCAATGGTGGGCTGTCCAAGCATCGTCATGTTGCGTGCCTTGTAGCCAATCTGATTGCCCAGAGTGTGCATTCTGTCTTGGTGGACGACTGCGGACGTGATTAAGGAGGATGGCATGTTGAAGGTATCGCGCACGCCTCGAAGCGCGCCAGCCAAGGTATCAGAAAGCCAGTGTCAAAGGAACAAAGAAAGCCCCCCCAGAGACGGGTCGCAGGCTGACGCGGAGAAGGTGGAAACTGGGGTAGTGCAGATAGACAATGATTTCAGGCAGGAATTAGACTTTGGGGTGGCATGTGAAGATAAGGACGTAGCAATAGTCTGGGGCTTGGCCAGGGGACTGGGCTCAAGACGGTCTTATACAGTTTGTGCAAATGCAGCTTGGCTTGACTCACCCCCAGAAGGGCGCATGCATGTGCTGGGTAGACTGACGTGCTCTGCCATGGGATACGCGGGGGAGTCACCCATCACCAACCCCGACAGCCTCTACTATTCCGATGGCGCTGCACGCTATGCCCAAAGGGGGCCCGCAGGTTTGGCAGTTTTCCACACGCCCATGGACAGAAGCGTGCTAAGTGCGCCGCGCTGGAGAAGGGTCTGGGCGACATGTCTGTGAATTTTGCTGTTGCGGACCACGGCGAGTGGATACGCAGTGACGCTGGGTCGTTGCAAATTTTCGACGTTAAGCCGTTAAATGGTAAAAGGCAATTAGAGCACGTTTCAACGCGCACTCAACAATCGGGGGCGCCCGAAGCTGGTTTGCCCGAACAAAATCTCTGTCGCGGTGAGGGCTGGCCAGGCATGCAGGCCGATGCCCACATGGAGGGCTGCTACTCAAGCGTAGGGCGTGTGGGCACGAAATGTACAAGGGCGCGGGCCCATTAATCAGCACAGCGTGCTCTGCCTGTAACCACTCAGCTCCTTCGGAATACTCTACTTTGGCTATTCCGAACCGACTCATCACCCATCCACCGCTCACGTCTCGTGTTTTCCGGCGGTCAGTTCGTACGTGTGCTGTGTACACTGTCCATGCTTGACACGTGGGCTGGGGGTTATTATGGGCGCCTTTTATTTCTTGGGTCTGGTTCAGCGCGACATTTTGTGGTCAAGCAAAGCCAATTCCGAAGCGGTGGCCCTGCTACTATGGGTAATTAGTGCCAAAGGAGGGTGAGGTGCAGCCGACGTCATGCCAAATCCTGCGAGCGCAATCTACCATCATCAACGCGTACCTGACGGGAAGCGTGTTGCATATGTACACACACTGACAGGCACATGTCTCGATTGTGCGAGTAGAATGACGATTCGGGCCCGCCGCTTACTCACCAAGCTGCCATACCTTCGCTCTTGACGGCACACTCAGGGCTCAACGTCGGCCTCTCAAACAAAGCAAAGCAAAGCAGAATGGCTACAGCCAGAAGTCCTGCCAGCGCTCCATTCGCAGAGAACCTGCCTACCCCGCCCGCCTCTTCTGCAGCGCCCTCACAGCACCCCTCGCCCCTGCCGCAGCCGCGGAAGCACCCCCTCAAGCCTGGTGGCCCCAGAGAATCGGATTTGATCAGATACCTGGATCATGGTATCAACAGCATTCAGAAGCGCGTGGATAATCGCATGACCAACCGCAAGCTCAAGCCTGAGCCTGGCGAAGAGCAAGGATATAGCGCATTCTGGGAGGTGGCACGCGACCTCGATGGCTTGGTAGACGTCGTGTGGGTGTCGGCATCTCGTAAGCAACAACATGGCGCGGTCGGTGTAACAGGTACTGATGTGCGCCACATGCAGCGAATCTCCAGATTCCCTATTTGCTCAACATTGCCGTTCTAACCGCTGAATTCCTTCCTCTGTTCACTTCATCAACGCGCTCCACCCGGGCCACCTTTGGCCTCGTCTCAAAACTTGACTATGCCTTCTCCTCACTACTGACTGGCCACGACCTTGCTACAGGCGAGCTGTTGCCTGGTTTTGAAAATGGCCGAACAGTCACAACCACGAATAAGGTCCGCTTGAAGGGCATTGTAGATCGCACCCGCCTGACTGTCGTCCGTGTTATGAGTGGAGAAAGTGTCGTTGGGGACGATCAAGACGTGGGCGAGGCGATGGATACAGACAACGAGCGAGAGGCCGAGCCGCGGGGCCACGATGGAACGGTCACCTTTGAAGGCTTTGAAAATAATACTGACGACGAAGTAGATGATGATGAGTGGGAGGAGCGTGGCATAGCCACTATCTATGAAAAGACAATAGGCGAGTTGGGCGACGTCCTCGGTGGCCCCCCAATTGGTATCATCACAGACGACTGGGCTAGCAAAGGAGCAGAGCAGCAAAGAAGCGGCGGTGGCTTCGTAGAGTCTGACATTGATTTTGACTAAGCTGATATATGGCACGTTGATTATTTCTTCGTCTTCTGAGCCTGAGGCATGCCAGTGCGGGAGTAATTGCTGGAGATGGGCCGTTTGGAGATATTTGCCATTCTACTCAGTTGTTCCTTGTCCAATCTCTTCTTCTCATGTTTTCATCCCGCATGTTATCTTGATTCCACGTACTTCCGGACATTCTCTCACTCCACTCTTTTTTTTCTTATTCTTGTAGGTAGCCAAAAGTCTTGTCGTGATGAAGATTCGACGATGCAGGAGCAGTGGCCTTTGAATACGGCTGTGACCGGAAAATGTTTGTGTTGGGCTGGAAAAGTGCATTCAAAGTTGGCGAGACAAGCCGGCCGGCGGTGAATGACAGGGAAGGAGCGTTTGAGGGTGCCTACCTGATCTGGAAGTCCACGATACAAGCCATGCGACAAAGCCCGACCACGCTCAACCACGCCCGACACATCCCAGATGGTATGCGCGTGCACAATTCCGGTTGTGAGAAATCTTTCCTTTGCCTAACACTATTATCCATGCTGTCTATTGCGCCATACTCTGATACGCAAAATATTCTATCGCCGCCCCACAAATATGCCTACATACCTGGCACGCGGCGTGTCGGCACGCTTGGGTATCATGCCACTTGCCGACACCATTTCTGAACAGATTATACTACGAAGGGGAGAGAATGCCAGGCAGCAGTCAGAAGCGGCCGAGAAACAGTTGCAGAATAGTAGGCTGCTCAATGAGGTGTCCGTACCTTTCCCGGGTGACGAACAACAACACCGTTTAAACTGGCTGGGAGACGCACCTTTTCTGCAGGTACAAGCTGGCTGGGACGCTTTTGAAGAGGGATGCGCAGAGACAACAAGGGCGACTACGGGTACTTGACTCCACCTCATAACAATGCCAAAGCTAATCTTTACCTCGTAGGCGTTCCGTCCTCTCAAGAACCCAAAGCACTTGTTCTTCATGTCAATCTTTCAGACAGAACGTACATAACCGGTCTCAACGGTCGCAAAACTTCACTCAAGATCGAAGTCTTCTTCAACGGGCAGCTGAATAGTTGCTGGCTTATGGCTACGCACGACGTCAGGACTGGCGTCAAAGGACACCATCAGATTTTTGCTGGAGCTAGGGTCGATTTCGCCGCTGAGCGTCCATGGGTGATCCTCCCACCTGGGATGAAGCCAGGAGCGAGCCTTGGAACGCACTGTGAGCCCATCTCAGTAGCACAGCGATGGCAGGATATTTGCCGCGCCTTCAAAAATGAAGCACATGAGAGGGGTGCCAACGAACACGGAGAAATCCCTGCAACCGCCACATTTCTAGAGGCTCTTGCAGCTATGCAGATGCCAGATGAAGTCCGGAATATGCAGAAGCCAAGGGGGAAAGTTTTCGGCACAATTGACGTTGTCATCACGGCCGGGGAGGGTAAGAAACTCACAAGTGGTGTAGGCTACCTAACGGCGCCGAAAAGGATGTTCGACGAGAACTTTCCGCTCGTGAGACAAAGTGATGGTGCTGCCCCAGACATACAAACAGCTGGGACTCGACAAACTGGAAGCAACGATGAGCTCAACAGCATCCAGCCTGGTTATGATAGTTTCGACGCGAATACAGAAGGCGAATACCACCAAGGATATAGCTTGTCAACACTGGAAAAGTCGTTGAGCGCAGACAGGCCTGGCATACCAACTGTTCCTGAGTTCGCTCCATGGAGCAGAATTCCAGACAACTTGCAGCACATCCGAGGACAGAGTATATCGAGCGACCTAAGCAATCAACCATGTCAACCAGATACTGCACCGTGTTTTGGTCCGCTCCAACATTCGCCCTTCAGTTTTCCCGGCCCAAATCAGCCCCTCTTAATGGGTCCTATGCAAGATTTCAGCATCGTGTCTGATCGATTTAGACCTAGTGCATCTGCGCCACCGTATCTCTTATCGAATCAGCCTTCTCAGGGCTTCAATGATGGCACACCTCCGCTTTTACACGGGAACCTCACAGAAGACGATCATAAAGATTCAAGAACACCTCAAAACATGATTCCTGCTCCATTCTGGACGCAACAAGTTCCCGACCTTCGTGAGCAAGGAGCTATTGAATTACCATACGTGCCACTTCCTCCATCGAACAACTACCTGGAGTGGCCAGCGCCACCCATAGGGCTGTATTCTGTACCCACGAAGCCAAAACGAAGCATCTACCCACGGAAGGACACTCTTTCGGCGAGGGTGAAGAAAGATGGCCGCGATGTTCTGCTTACGAGGTTGGTGATCCTAGGACAGGATAAGACCGTCTCAGTTGACCACAAGTGGGACCCACCAAAGCGCATCACAGTAGGATCAAGAAGGCCAGTATGTCCCGAGCCTCAAACCGGCCATTCAACGAGCATGGATGAATGCCTTGAATCATCAAAATCCAGGGACACATCTGCCAGCATCAGCCAACCAGAGAAAATTGCAGTCCACATGAATACGTCAGCGCCCACATCATCCGAGAATTCTAGCATGGATGTATCTCTCAAAGAAACCCCCCATATATACCAGTCTCAGGATGAGGTGATTGTGGGAGAGAACGAGTCAGCTGATCTTTGCCGTAAGCCTGACACATTGCAGCTGAACGACGCTCGTCTCTTTGCTCAATCAGAGAAGGACTCTGGGCTTTCCACAAAGAACAATTATGATCGTCGCGCTTCACCAGGCAGTAGCTTGTTTGCGGTTCAAAGTCCCGAAACGAACCCACCTTTGTTTGGGAGACCAGAAGAGATGTTGCGCGAAGCATCTCCTCTCTCTAGCCTGCATACCATCCCTAATATTGGTTTAGAGTCTATGGAGTACAAACTTCAGTCTGAACAGACTAACCCAATTACCCCAGTGCCTGTTCGACCGGCGGATGGCTTAAACGAGCATGTAATTCTACCAAGTCCCGACCGTTCTCACCCTGCATTGTTTCCGCATATCTTGAGTTCGGCGGTCAAAGCAGCTCCGTCTTCAAACGCCAAGAAGCGTAAAGCCTCCGATGATGCCTCTACCAAGAGGTCACGCAATCGTACTTCCTTGAAACCAGACGGCAATCCCTCGCTAAATCAGAACTGTGTCATTGCATATGCAGAGAACAAGGACGAGGGAGATGAGCAAGGTGTTTTCAGGCAAGTCCGGAGTGAAAGATGTGGGACATTTCAGGAAGACTACGTCGTCTTTGCGGCACGTTTCTTTGTAGGAGAAAAGGCGAGCATGGACAAATAGTAAGAGACGTGTCGCGGCAGAGAAGGGTCACTGGAGATTACATGTGAATGTACGAAGAGAAGAAGCGATAAGAATGGCGTCAAGGAGCTAGTAATGGCAGGTATGAGGTTTCATGATGGATGCTTTGCTATTTTTCTACACGCAAATACGAGATCTCCAGCCCGTCAGTAGTCCAGGAATAGTTGCGCTTGTGCAAGTAGGTACGCGAACACAAAAGCCAGGATACCCAGGACGATGCGTCATTGCGCAATGGAACCTCTGTTATCGTGAAGCAGCGGGTCAGGGATACAAGGGGGTGTCGCGTGATGACGCACGCCATAGTACTTACCTCTCAGCTGTCAACTAATGCATCCGCTGTGCCCTCTTCGGTTCCGATCATCTCTTTGTCTAAACTAGACCGCATCACAGCACATTTCTCATGTACATATGTATGACGGAGTCGGTTAGTGGGTAACCAGGTCTTGTCTTTTTGTGCAGTCAGTTGTGCAACATGCAAGCAAAAGCTGGCGCGTCACAGCCACGAAAGGCTGTCGGCCCTTTCCAGCTCTCAACCCCGCATCACAAGAACAAAGTGATAAACTCTGGTTGGCCAATCTTGACAGAGCTGCGCCCCTGACTGGGAAACGAGCGCCTTGGGTGAGGCACTAAATTACAAGGCAAGTTCCGGCCAAGCCGTGTTGTCAGTATCGGCGTGCAGAGATTAGACTTGGTTTTTTGTTGTCAGATGAGGTGGTCGCTGAGGCAGTACTTTCTCTCTCTCCCTCTCTCTCTCATCCTCTCCTCCCTCGTCACGCATCGCCTTTGGTCAGGGTTGCGCGCTGGGTTATGAATACGGTTGCCGAATTTGCTGCGCCAGAGGTACTCTAGCCATACAAGACGCTGATAGAAGGGGGCACAGCATACGTACTTCCCGGTCGACAAGTGCGAGACGGATGATATGCATGAGGCCCGAACGGTCAAGGTCGGACATCCAGCTGCATACTCGAACCAGTGCCCGTACAAGTTGTGTTCCGGATCAACTGGTATTGCTTCTTTTTTTTCTTAAAAGCGTGTGTAAAAATCCTGGATAGCGCGTCGTTATGTCGAGCAATAGCACAGAGACGAAGGAGCCGTCGGGTCCAAGAGGCGGCACGCTTGTTATCGCCATCATTGTGCCTTCGGTTCTGATTATTCTGTTGATTGTCCTTATCATTGTGTCAGTCTCTCGCCCGCGCGCTGCATGTCAAAGTTACACGTCTGAGCTAACAAGCAGCAATCGACGCAGAGGTTTTCTCCTCCCACGACTGGCCCGCGAAGAACGGCGCGTGCGCGAGAACGGTTGGCAGACGCGGAAAGAAGAGTTGGAAAGTCGAGTCAAGGCGCAGTGTTTTTCTGAGTGGGTCGCCGGCCAAAAGGAAAAAGGGTCTGGGGCGCCTCAAATGTCAGATGCATTATGGTGAGATTGTTATTTGCTGGCGACAACAGCGCATCATGAGCTTATTTTTTGCGGCAGTGCTATTTGTCTCGACGATTTCGCCGACGATTCCCAGGTTCGAGGGCTCGAATGCGCACATGCGTTCCATTCACACTGCCTGGACGAATGGTATACAAAGTACAATGAATATTGTCCGTTGTGCCATGGTCCGATAATCCCCGGGGCTCGGTTACCGAAGAAGAAAGCAAGAGAAGTAGGCGAGCCGACGATTCCGGTGATTCTCATGGTCTGAGAAAAGGCGACATAAAGGCAACTTGATGCTGGGTGCTAGAGTGTCAATGTGGAGTCGCATACATATATAATAACCATGTAGCCGCAAATGGACGAGACTAAAAAAAAAAGACATGGGGCACCACGCAGGTCGCTTTAGTCGCTCGGGATAGACGGGAGATCTCCAACGGGGCAGGTAAATTCTGTCCTGATCAACGGGCGGCGAGCAAGTGGGTCAAGCCAAAAGGGCAGCCAGGACCGAGGCAAATGTTCAGCGCCAATGAGGCAATGGTGTCCATGACAGCGTATTCATGACCGCAGTCGACAAGTGTTATGTACACTACACATATAGACGACATGGTAGATGAGAGGACAAGTGACCAACGAGCAGTGGTGCTTGCTAGTAGTCTACATGTGTACTGGGTACCAAGCCGGGCTGGGTAGCGTAGGTGGATTAGTGTATCCGGCACATCAACGGCTCCCGCTGCCGCTGGTAGTAGTGGACATGGCCTTTTACCACTCTAGACCTTGCACGGTCCAATGCCAAGTGTGTACGTATACAGGACATGGTATACAGACTTGAGTAGGATAAAGCGAGGAAGCCGAGAGTGCTGCGAGAGAGGCCGCGGTGGTCTTGGCTCGAGGCGAGGAGGCACAGAGGGCGTACCAGACAAGACGCATTGGGCAGTGGGCGGGGCTCAGCCAAATGTCACGCCACATTTCTGGTGGTCTGATCATCCTCAACCGCCATCCATCCAGACCCGGCCAGTCCCTCCCAGCTCAGCTGCACCGCACTGTTCTGCACCCCTCTGCTGCTGAGACGCCCGTTTGAGCCTTCTGACCCCGTCGCCCTTTTCGTCTTCCCTTCTCGTCCACCGACACACGTCCACGCCCTGCAACTCCCGATTCCCCAGCCCGGCTTCCCCCCTGGTCGCACCACCTAGAACCTCTACTACGGGCCTGCAAACCACCTGCAACCACTGCCAAGTCTCTGTGTTTGGTCTTACTACTCACCATCCTGGGCACCTGCTCCCCTCCTCGGGCTCAATCTCGGGCTTCGCTTCTTCGCACTGCTCAAGCCCATCTGCCCTTCTCCCTCTTCCACCCATCTCCCCAAAAGAGGCCTGCTGTTTGTTTCTGTCTTTTCCTAGGCCTCGACCAAAAACCAAAGGGAGTGGCCGCGCTTATATCCTCGTCCCCCACCCGGTCCTGACCCTGCACGTCGTTGGCTAGTCTCATCTGGCGGCTTGGCCATAGCACCCTCGAGCCATTGTATCTCCTGATCAACGCGTGAGCTCTTCCGTGCCACAACCCACCCACCGACAATCACCATGGCTCTCAATTGGGACGCATTCCTCAATACTGACGGTTTCAACCTGCCGAACAACCAATGGTCCGATCCTTTACCACCGACTGCTGCCCCTCGCGCCTCTCAAATGCCAAAGTCTACCACCACCGACACGTCAGGCTCTTCACCTGAGGACCTCAACAACTTTGACTCTCTCATCGGTGCTTCATCAGCCGATCCCTACTTTGACGACTCGCTTTTCCTGTCCAACGACTACTTTCTCGGCGATCTCGACGTCCTCAAGCCCTTTGGCAACACTGCTGGGGGCAAGTCGACAACGGAGTCATCTCCTGAGCCCACGACAAGTGGTAATAACCCCGCAGCACAGGTACCCGTGTCGCTGGCGAACGGGCTAGACCAATCAGCTCACATGTCTCCTGCCCAAAGGCTGGCACTCCAACGTGCCAACACGTTTCCTAACCCCGCATACGAGTCCATGTTCCCCAACAACATCGACTCGGGCTTCGTTGAAGACCTCACCTTTCCAGATGGTCCCAAGGGCCTATCAGTTGCCCAAAAGCCTGCCGTGGAAAGAAATCAACCTTCGACATCGACAAACACTACTTCGAAGCGAACCAAGAACAAGCCAGATATCCTTTCTGCCTGCTGGACCTCACCCCTGTGTCCCAATCATGACCAAGATGGACCACCACCCAACCCATCAACATGTGGCGGCGGATGTGCGCCCTTCTTATTCGCAGACCAAGACAACCTACCAAGCATCAATGATTTGCTTGCTGAGCCTCAAGAAGTTATGGCCGAAGATGGCATAGTAGAGATTCAGCCTAGGCCCAAGAAGCGATCCGAGAGTGATGCATCCGCTAATGGCTTCTCTACTCGACAATTCGAGAGCAAGGAGACGACTTCATCACCGACTGAAGATCGTCACAGGACCAAGAGCGAGACTACAGAGGATAACTCCACCAAGGAGTCACCTCAAGCCGACGACGGAAAACCAAAGTCTCGTCGGCGACTACCACACAACCAGGTCGAGCGCAAATACCGCGAATCACTCAACACCCAGCTTGATTCTTTGAAGAGAGTTGTACCTTCACTACAACAGAACCCCCGGGCGTGCGACAGCGCCGACATTGAAGACCTGCCCGCCCCTTCGAAGCCCAGCAAAGCCGTCATCCTGGCCTCAGCAACCGCCTACATCAAGCAAATGGAGAGAGAGAAGAAGAGCCTCGCTGATGAGAACCAACTTCTCCGCACAAGAGTAAAGGCTCTACAAGCCCTTGTCAAATGCGACGACTGCAGTTTGATGCAGTACGTCATGGACCTGAAGATCAAACAAGGGGCTTAGAAGAAGACCCTCCGTTTATTTTCCCTCCCCCAACCTCACTCAAACAAGTTCTGAGAAACCGGCATTTTTGTAAATCAGCATGGGATTAATGGTGTTTTTTTGAAGATTCCCCTCCAATCTCAAAATCGTAACCTAGATTTTCCTCTTTCTCTCTCCCGCGAGTTCCGAACCAAAACATGGGAAGTGGGGGACAAATAGCTAATTTGGGGGTGTGTGTGGTCCTGACCTTTGTTTTTGGGCAACGGATCCCGACTTTGTCGGCGATATCTTTTTCAACATTCTCTCTCTCTTATCATGGATGAAATGCACAGATGCTGCTTCACATGTAACGATTATGGCGTTGATAAGGGTTACTGGGGAATTCAAAAAGCGCACGCTTTGGCGATGACGCTCATGGCGTTTTTATTGGGAGGGATGGTTTTTTTCCTTTTGAACGGGCTGTAGAGCAGGGTAGCTTTCAACAGAAATATACGATCATACGCCTGTTTTTGTTGGGGGTTCTTTTCGCGTGGTGTGAGTTGCTGCACCACAGTTTGCTGGTAGCGATGAGATAAGTGCAGTGAAAAGTAAGTTTTATTTGCTTTTCATTCATACTACCATTACTTTCAACTCATTACCCAAGCATCATTACTATTATCTCAACTTTTTTGTTTTCCCCAAAAACACGAAAAAAACCACCAAACGCCTAGTCCTTAAACACCACATTCACTCTCTTCCTCTAAGCCTTCACATCATCCACCCCCTCAATCGCAACCCTGGGTCTCACATACCCATCTATCTCTATTTTTTTTCGTCAGCCTTTCCTTTTCCCTTCTTCAACCCACCAATTATACAGAGGAGGTAACTTACGCATACTGCACTGTACATATCCAACCGGCCAAACAGGTCCATCCCATCTATCCCATCCTTGCTCATACGATGTTATGGATGCTTTTTCCAGCTCGAAGGCTGCGTCCTCGGCGGTGAGGAGGGTGGGGGTTACGAGCGGGGTTGACATTGTGGTTGCTGAGAGGGAGAGGTAGAAGTAGTAGGGGTCGTATAGCATATGGGTTTGAATTAATATTGTTGTTGGATGATTATTTTTTTCGGAAGTAGGAGTGGTTTGGGGTTGGTAAATGCTGAGGGAGGATGTGGAGGGGTGTGTTGGAGAGGTGGAATTTATATGTAGTAGTAGTAGTAGGGGAAAGAGGAGGAAGAGGTAGAGTATGGAGGCAAAGTGGTGAGATCGATAGCTTAGTCGGTTGTGGTGTCCTTGCGTCTCGATAGTTCGTAGCTAGTAGTAGCACGCGATAAAATCAGAAATGTATCTCCAGATACTTTTTTTGACGCTGCCATCCCTGGAATTCGCCTTTTCCGCCTTCCGTCTTCCGCGTACCCTGCGCAGTAAGCTGCGTCGGGAGGGCCCGGTGTGGCACGGGGGGTAGCGCGGGTGGAGAGATATGTGGCGTGATAGGGTGTGTGGTTCTCGGAAGTATCCGGTCGCGCCACCACGTGTCTAGATTCAGGTGCGGCTTCTGGATTTGTGTGTGCGGCGCATCATTTAATCTAGGTACACGTGTGTAGCTGAATATTTCTGGGAATGTGGGGTGGGAGGTAGGTATCACACCATTGTGCTGTCGTGATGTTGCTGCGTGTGGAGAAGAGGGGGTGGTTTATATATGAAGCCCCCTTGGGCAATACAGAAAGTTTATTACTATCTCCATCTACAAACCCACCACTTGTATCAAAGACATCAATTACTTAAAAGTCATATATACTTTTACCATTACTTGCGAAGCGCCGCGACTAAACCGGACTTACAACGCCAAAAACAAATATACGAACCATCCAACAAAACCAGGTTCCACCACCACAACAACATACAACAACACACACATGTCGTTCTTCCCAATCATACCTTCAACATCCCTCTACAGCACCATCCTCGCTCTCCCACCACCCCACCACTACTACTACGACTACGACTACGACTATCAACCCCCCACCCAACAAAAACCTCACCACCATCACCAACACACCATCCACATGGACCATCATACCTTCACATCCCTCTTCTCCCACCTCCTTGCACCCGTCTCACACACGCAATGCACAAGCTCAGCGCCCTGCTCATCCCCCACATACCACGAGGAGCACAAAGAAAAAGAACCACACATAATCCGGCTCGCGGAAGAAGAAGAACTGGCGCGCTTGCAACATGGCGAGCAGCAAGATGGTACGCCGTTGTGTCGTGAGGGGGGGATCGCGGCGTGGCATCAACAACAACCGCAGCAGCAGCAGCAGCAGCAGGGTGAGCGCAGGGATTCGATGGAGGTGCAGAAGAAGAGAAGGCCAAGTTTGGAGTGGTTGGCTGGGGTTATTAGGGAGAGGAGGGTGCATGTTTAGATAGTTTGGGGACTTGGGTGTGAGAATGAAAGGGAGAGAGAGATATACCCGGGTGAGAATAAGGCAGGAAGGTAGAGGTAGAGAAGTGTGTGAGAGAGAGAGAGAGGGGGGGGGGGGGGGGGTTCGGCATTTTTTTGGGGGGGGGGGGGGGGGGGGGGGGGGGGGGGGGGGGGGTGTTCTCGAACTTTTTAGGTAGTTGGAGTTGAGTGAGGTGAATGGGAAATCTTTTTATATTCAATGTTAGATGGGAATTTTTTGTAAACGACGTTTTGAATTCTACTATGCGAAATGTATGATTCGAATCGTTTAGTGGCATCATGTCACTTGGTTCTTTTCTTTGATTCCTCGGGAGTAAGTAAAAGGGGGGGTATTATCGAGGCATTTGTATCGTTTGTGGCAAGGACAAGTCTTTTTGTTTAAAAAAAGCCTTTGTGTTCTTTTCGATGAATTGGGGAATGTAGACGAAGATGGGATGGAGGCGAAGGTGCAAGGTTAAAGGATGGTAATACTAGATACAAGGCTGGATCGTGTGCAGATTGGGTCGGTATACGGGTTTTTGTTGGTCGGCATGTGACACAGATGAGATTCATGAATTTTATAGATGATTTCCATTATTTTTGGGCGTTGAAAGATGAGTGCGAAGGTAGTAGTGGTGTTATAGTATCATAGTCTTGAGTGTGGCAAAGGAGATGAGGATGGCATGGTTTTGTGAGGGCTGGGCACACAGTTCTATGTATACATTTCTGTATTCAACAAGTCAATGGCTCCAAAAGGAAGTAGGACCTGAGCAATTGTTAATAGTCCGTACAGAGCATCTCTAATCTGTAATAAAAGTGCAGCGATAACGATTGATCAGTTTACACCAATGCTTCTACTCGAAACTTTAATACCTTACCCTCTACTTCCCTATCAAGCGCAACATACCTTGAGCTACCCCAACACCCAAACATACTCCAAGAAATACCCCGAGAAAAGCAATCTATCTCTCCGTTACGGCATGTCATCTCTTACAACTACAACGTGCCACCGACTAGCTCCTTGGCAGCAAATATGTCACTGGCGACCGCTGATTGGCTGACTATTCTCTAGAACCCATGCTTAAAAGACTTCGAACACACGAACGATTTACCGTGTATGCAAGCGTCGCAAACCACCATGAACACAACAGAGCACAGCGCATACCAGCATGGCAAGAGCGCGGGGATAAGAGATGGAGATGATGTTGAAAAAGCTGGAGATGCGCAGGCAATCCCAGGTAAGCATGGCAGCTTAGTCGATCCTACAAGCTCGAAATTTATTCTTGTCGACAGGACACGATGGCGAACAGAAGGACCTTCCGCCATTGAAGGGACTGTCATTTCTCGATCGGTTCCTCGTCGTGTGGATTGTACTTGCCATGGGCATCGGCATTGCGCTTGGGAATACAGTCGACTCTGTAGGACCTGCGTTGCAAAAAGGCGAGTTCGTGGGTGTGAGTATACCCATAGGTATGTGTAACCAACAAAAGAAAAGCGAATCAGATCGATTTAATGCTGATGTACCCACAGCAATTGGACTGCTTGTCATGATGTACCCAATCCTTTGCAAGGTCCGATACGAAACGCTGCATCTGCTCTTCAACTCTAAGGAACTCTGGATCCAAATCGCAGTCTCATTTGTCTTGAACTGGATCATCGCTCCGCTTTTCATGGTCGGCCTCGCTTGGGCGTTTCTGCCAGACCGCCAGGACCTGCGCGAAGGACTAATCTTCGTAGGCATCGCGAGATGCATTGCCATGGTACTCATCTGGACCGATCTCGCACAAGGCGATGGCGACTACTGCGCGGTTCTTGTCGCCTTCAACTCGATACTGCAAATTATCCTGTTTGCGCCTTTCGCCGTATTCTACATCCAGGTCGTTAGCCACGGAGAAAAGACGGCCGTTTCATACCAAGGCGTTGCGAAAAGTGTCGGGGTATTCCTTGGGATACCCCTTGGAGCAGCGGTCGTCACTCGGCTGGCTTTAAGGACCCTTCTTGGAGAAGAACGATACCAACGGCGCTTCATCCGATACATTGCACCGTTCTCCCTCATTGGCTTAATCTACACCATCATTGTCCTCTTTGCAAGCCAGGGCGCGCACGTTGTCCGGCAAATCACCGACGTTCTTCGTGTTTGCGCACCGCTACTCGTCTACTTCCTAGTCATCTTTACAAGCACAGTTTGGTTCTGCTGGAAGATGGGATTTGGGTACAAGGTCAGCTGTACACAAAGTTTTACTGCTGCAAGCAATAACTTTGAACTGGCTATTGCGGTAGTGGTAGCCGTGTATGGCGCTGGCAGTGGACAAGCTCTGGCAAGTACCGTCGGACCTTTAATTGAAGTCCCGGTCCTTGTACTGCTTGTGTACGTCCTGAAGTGGATCCGGGCGAGATGGCAATGGGCCTAGAAGGCGTGGCATTGTCCTATCAAATGCATGTCGGTCAGCATGAGATTAGCTTCGGACCCAAGGCCACGACTCGAGCCAGAACTGGAAACCGAAATGCAGGTATGAGGGCGGATCGTCCGGAAATGGTCTTGTTCCGACACAGTGCCTGCTTTCAAGGACAGCGACATCTTGTCATGGATTCCTCGCGAGTCCATGACGGGTATGGCCCGGAAACGCTTTGCTGCGATTGCAGCCAGTCATAGCTGCGAAGGGATGGCCGTGACAGGATGGCAGAGTAGCGCGAACCGTGTTTATAGGTTCACGGCGGATGCCAAGCGCTCTTAAGGGTTGCGCTATTCTCTCGAAGCCGTAGTGTACGACTTAATGTTTAGTTTGTTGCACATCATAATTTCGGGGCGAAAACAAAAAGCGTAGTGAATATGTGATTTGCAAACAGAGAGAGTAGAATCGGCTGTCTAGTGCGCACGGAGAAGATACCTTAGTCACTGACAGTGGTTATCGCTTAACAAACACCACAGTCCCTAGTCGCATGTGATTTTGCAACCGATCTTAGCACATGACCGGCGCGCAAGCAAGGGTACGACTTCCGTGCAAAAACCCCACAAGGAGCGACTTTCCACCGACACGGACCATGCGGCTTACCACACCGAAGCCACAGAAGAGGGTAAATTCAGAACCGATGGGCAGGCGGTGAGAACCAGACGCGATCTTATCAACTTGACAGTGATCAACCGGTGGCTCATACAGCAGTAGGGCCCATCGATCGTGCAGGATTCTGCCCACCCCGTACCCGTCTGAATGTAAGTAAGTACAAGGCTGACGACAGGCAGCCTCCAGCGGGGTCAAATGTGCGGATTCTAGTCATTGAACGGTCTATCGGCGGCGCCGCGAGATAAACTCTACCCAAAAGCGCTTGTTCCCCTGATGACACATGGCCGCTCCGTCAGAGGTGCCGATTCGCCGTCTGCGGGGATCCATCTTTACGACGTCGTAGTAGTTTGACTGGACGTCATAGCAGTCGACTCATCTGGTATGTGTGTAGCGAGTTTGCTTGCTCCAATCCGAGCTTGATAGATAATCCTCTTTACAAATCAGCCCATTAGCCTTGTGTGGATTGTGCGATAGGCGTGACATGGCGTAGTTTTTTTCATCTGCTTTGGCAGAAGAATGATGCTGGTGGGTTGCCTTACGGGCACACAGCTGAAAAGCTCCAAGTCCATGTCAATGCGTTTGGTACTTTGTGCCCCCACAGTTCTACTACTACTTGGATACATAGTATATACTACTCAGTACACACATGCGTACATGGGCAGTTGCACAAGTGGAGCACGCATGTCGTGCAAGCGCATGCCGAACGACTTTTGTACCGTAGCAGAGAGCCGATTTTGTCAAGTTGTTATGTGGTGGCAGGCTTGGCCATAGCCGCGAAGGTACGGTTGCAAGTAACCGTGGCACGGGGTGGATCGCTTTGCAACAATCCCTGCACATCCTGAGGCCACACCTGTTCGGAGATTTGGTGGCTCTGTCAAATGCTGGACATGACTCCCAGGACCTAAACCTAGCCATTCGTGGTATATCGCAAGACAGACAATGCCATGTACTGGGTTCATGGCGACTGCATGTCTATGTACGTGTAATTCGGTGGCTGCGTTATGCTCCACACAGCCGTGCCGTAATGCAGCAGCGTGAGCAGCATATGCATGTGTTGGCTTGCAGTCGTCGTGGTAATTGCAGTCTCAAAACGGAGAGTGTCCGTAGGGCGCAAGGTTGGTGTGGCGTCTGGTATTATATGACGCGCCAGTGGTGTTTTTTTTGGCTGGGTGCGGCGTGAAGTCGACAATTGATGAAGCCAGCATCTGCTTACTCAGACTCGACCTTGTGGGGGATGCATATGTTGCTGCAGCGAAAACTTTGGACAAGCGGACCGCAACGTCGAAGGGGCAAGCCGCAGTAAGCGTGTGGACATGTAGGCGGCGGCCGAGAATGGTTCCGTGTGTGGACAAGAATTAGACATGACGTAGAGAAGGACCGCATTCGGGCAGGTGTTTGCGAGGTGGAGAGACGCTCTCTCCATGGGCGTGTTTGTTTCGTCGATGGTGATAGCCGAGCCATGGCGTGGTCAGCGACGAACGCACACGTCGCTCTTAACGGCGGGCAATATAGCTGGAACACGACTGTAAAGGCTGAAACTGGGAGCTGGAGCTGGCCCAGGAGGCGGACAGGGCCTCGGCTATCATGCCCTCGTTCCCGTCTCAGGAGTGTCAGATGTGTGCGCCCCGCATGCACTCTCGAGTGCAGTCGACGAATGCTGTGGCTGCAAAGAGCGCCTTGCAGCGGAGACCCACGTGCCTGGTGCCAATGGGGACAGGCATCCGCGGCGGCGTTGGCTGTCAAACAGGCACCATGGGTTCAGCTGGCTGGCACGGCAGATGGCATAGCCACTGCTGCCCGTCTGTTGTTTCGAGAAGGGCGGACGGGCAGTTCTGGAGCCAGCAGTGGTGGTGTTCATGCACTTGGGCCGGCCGGCGGCGCGCCAGTCGCACTTTGCCCTCCCAGCCTTGTGGAGCACCCGGTACAGCGGTTCGACCAGGCTAGCAACGACCGTGTTTCAATCTGGCCTTGCCCGGCTTGCGGACTGCCCTGCCTGTATGTGTGTGTGTGTGTGTGTATGTGTGTGTGTGTGTGTGTGTCTGTGTGTCTGTGTGCCTGCGTGCCTGTGCCTGCGTGCTCGCACTCGTCAGTCTCTCTCGCCCTCCCCGCACTCTTGTCGCCCTCCACCACCTCAGCCTGAAGTCTTGCCTCTCCAATCTTGCAGCCGTCCCTTGCAACGTTGCATCAGTCTGGCACAATGCTGCTGGACGTCGGTAGCTGAAACGGCTCCCTTTTGTCCCATCGACAGGGACGGCCGCACCTCGCTACCGCCCCCCGGTAGGACCTGGATCGCCGCCGCTGACCAACAAGCACAAAAACAATTAACAATATGCTGCACCCACGCTGCGACTGCGACTGCTGCTGGCTCCCACGGCGGCTGGACGTAGCAGCACATGTACGTCGAGAGAGAGAGTGGGCCGCTACCCCCTAAACCACCCCCTGCAGAGACTGGCTGACCCTTAACTGCGCTTGACCATGGCACTGGATACTGGGCACATGGTCGCCGTCTAGCTGCTCGTAGTATCCAGTTCGTCGCAGTCGAAAATCTCTCCATGCGGCGCAGCTGAGGGGGGACGGCAGCTAAGAGCCAGTAACATGTATGATCCTAGGCGAACCGCCCTTCTGGGAGCGCAGTCGACTCTAGCACCACCCATCGGCGCATCGACTATGACCCGTGTCGCCGATTGCATGAGCATAGCTTGGCCAATCCCACACACGGGGCTTTTGGTACTAAATTTCTCAGCCAAGCAGAATGCTCAGCTCGCGTGCATCGACAAAGGAACGTCGATATGTTGCTGTTTGGGTGCAAAGGCGATGCTGCTTACTCTACCGTGCGGCAGAGATCTGCGCCTGTGCCCATGACATCGGTCGCTAGCGAGGTCTCGTCATTTCTCCTTACACAAGCAGGCCAGGACGCCCATGCTAACCGCGCCCGCGACGGCCCACCGGGTGTATAAGCTTGGTAAGAGTAAGAGTGTATCTTGGTGCCTTATCCGCCTAGCCGTAGAATTATACATACTAGTACTACATGGACACGAACAAACATGAGATGTTGTAGTACTCGCAGAGCAAAGCTTGTACGCTGCTTGTTGACCAAAAAGGTGGGACTCCAACGGCAGAGCCCACCCCTTGTGTAACCCTTCCTGTACCGAATGACGACACGGGCAGCGGAACGGCGCGCGGCGCTGCAACAGAAGAGTGCATCCATGAAGCGGTCGTGGCCGTGCATGGCAATGCGTGCCTTGGGCAGGCAGTGGTGACCAGGGACTTTTGTGCGTAATGAGGCCGGGTCGAGGGAGCTAGCGGGCGTGGCACAGTTATCGGCCGGGGCATAGACGACGACGACCGGAAAACGCGCCTGAAGGAGAGAGGGCATAGAGTTGCGTATAGCGCGCCTCAGGATACAGAGGACTAGACCAGGCAAAAGTGGCATCTCGCGTAAGCAACATGGTGATTGAGAAGCAGCTGGGGACCGCGGAGATTATCCTTCCGCGCCGTATGACCCGGGCTACTAGTCATGTCGGGGTTTGTTGCAAAAGCGTCACTTGTGCCGAGTATGTAGTATACCAGAGTGGTGATGGGGGATACGGGAGCAGAGGGTGCAGGGCGGGCATAAGGGGAGGGGAGGGGTGAGGGGTGCGCCCCAGACGGCAACACCGGTCGGGGCCAGCAGTATGATTCGCGCCAGATGGTGCCATGGTTACTCGGAAGGGCCCAAAGGGGCAGACGACAAGCACGCAGAAGCAACAGGACGTGGAGCTGGCGTGCAGCACACGCATGGTAAATGCAAGAAGGGACGGCGAATCTTGCGGCGCCCCATTCGCTGGAGTGGAGCATGGTACGGGATTCCGCGCAGCAGTCTTACCGCTGCATTGGGCGTGCAAGGCAGCATACTTGGGAGAAGGGCCGCCGCCTGTGCAGACAGACCGGTTGGCGGTGGTGGTGTGTGTGTCGAGGCCCATGGCTGGCGGAGAGAGGCGGGTAACAGGGCAACAGAGCAATGTAGTAGTAGTCGCAGCAGCAGCAGCAGCGTGGTGGTGGTGGACGACGAGACGCGTCGCGTGGCTCCCTCACGGTGCTTGAGGGGGGGAGCGAGAGTGCAGCAGGGGATGGGACGGACCTGTGTCATGCGCGCCCATTGACTGCATCTGACGACAGCGACACCGCTACTGTAGAACACTACTTGGAAGTAAGTAGGTGGGAGAGAGGACTAGGCGTGGTAGCAGCAGTAAGTAGTAGTTTTGGTGGTGGTGGTGGAGCAGCGGTGGCAGGCAAGTATAGTGCTCTCGTCAACAACTCTCCATCCATCCAGCATACACACACACGCACACACGCACACACACACATACACACATACACACATACACACATACACATACACACACATACACACACGCACACACACATACACACATACACATACACACACACATACACACACACATACACACACACACACACACACACACACACACATACACGCCCGGCCGGGGATGGGCTCACAGGGCTCACAGGCCACAGGCCACAGTGTCAGTGCACGGGTCCACTTCCGAGCGCGAGATCCCGCCGCTGTGGTAGCCGGAAAAGGCTATCCTCTGTTGGGTCCAGCTCCGAGCGTGTAGCGGGCTGCGTGCTGTCGTAGTGCCATGGACAGGCCACCTAATTAATAGCTGGCCTGTTAATGGCCTACGGCGCGGATGGGTCCCAGAGCTGCAAAGATGCAGATGGGTGGACCCGCCCTCGGACTGCCTCTTGCATTCATGCCGGCACGCCTGCGTGTGGTCGACCAGCCCCAGCGTCAGCGCCCGTTTCGCTTTTAAATACAGCGCCCATCGCACCTCGCTCTCGCCCTAGAGATTGAGCCTGAGATCCCGGCCTCTGACCCTCCCAACCTGCTCGTCGACACGACCTTGACGACATCATCACACACCACGACCGCCTTGACGACATCCACGCCCACGACCCAGCTAGCCCGCCTGAATCCACCGCCCTCCTCTCTCTCCCTCCTTCTCGCCTGCCACTCCACCACCTTCCCACTTATTGCGCTCCCCCTCATCTTTGCTCTGATTGCCCGTCTGCAGCATCCACCCCGCCGTTGGCAGCGACACGTGAAGCGAGAAGTGGCCTCTTGTCCCATGATCAGCGCGGACACGGCGACCAAACGAGAAACCGCCCTAATTCCTGCAGCAATATACCGGCAGCCACCACCCTTCTAGCCAGTCCTCCCACCAACCCCAGCTCTCCTCGCCCCTGAGGCTGCTCAGCGACCGCCGTTCGCTCCAATGATCACGATGACATCGAATGGGTGAGTGTACCGCCTTCTCCCCGCTCCGTGCAACCCTCCCCAATTTCCCGGCGGCAATGCGCCCTGCACTGGCCTGGGGGCCAAGCTACCCTACCAGACGGCTAACCCGTGCTTTCCCCCCCACCACAGATTGCCCGTGCCCGCTCAGAACAGCAACTACATGGAAAATGGCCGCTGGTATCATGGCTTCCGGAGAGGGCTCTACATGTATCCATGCGACGAGGTAGGCACCCGCCAAACAAACCCCACCACCATCACCACCACCGCCGCCCACCTTACCCGCTTGCTTGACGCTGACGCGACACCACAGCCAGAAAAGGATCGCATGGACATCTACCACCAGTTTTTCGCCGTAGCACGGAGAGGCCAGCTGCATCAGGCTCCCGTGCCCTCAGAGCCACATCTGCAACCCCGCATCCTCGACGTAGGTTGTGGGACGGGCATCTGGGCAATTGACATGGCCGAGTAAGTTCTGGGTTCTGCAGCCTGCAATTTGCGTCCCGCAAGGCTAACCACGACGGTAACAGCAAGTACCTAAACGCCGAGGTGCGCCCAATCTAGATCCGACGCATTGCTGCCAGACAGCTGACATGACTGCTGCAGGTCCTAGGATTAGATCTGGTCAACATCCAGCCCGAGAAGTATGTCCCACCACAAACAAGCTGCCTGCTTCTGAACCCGACACTGACGAATCCGCCTAGAATCCCCCCGAATCTGCGGTTCCGTGTACCACGCGATTACGAGAGCCCCTGGACGCTGGGCGAGGATTCGTGGGATCTGATCCATCTACGAATGGCTTGCGGCAGCGTCGAGAGTTGGCCAGAGCTGTACCAAAAAATATACACGTATGCACCATTGTCGCATTGCTTGCGCCTTCGTTTTCCGCATATGCTGACGAGCGGCCCAGTCACCTCAAACCAGGCACGGGCTGGATAGAGCACATTGAAATCGACATGGAGCCCCGCTGCGACGATTACACGCTTCCTCCCGACAGCATGCTCCTCAAGTGGTATGGTTGGCTGGCCGATGCCACGCAACGAGCTTTCCGTCCCATCGCATACGAACATCGCACTCGGCAGCTCCTGCAGGCCGCCGGCTTCATTGATATCCAGGAGACTGTGATTCGCGTGCCCTACAACACATGGCCCAATGACCCGCACCAGAAGGATATTGGCAGGTGGTACAACCTGGGCTTGACCGAGGGCCTGGAGGCGCTAACCTTTGCACCTCTGACCAGAGTCTACCATTGGGACCTCAATGCCCACGTACGGCCAATCGTCGAGGGCGTGCGCAGGGAGCTCTGCAACCGGAAAATCCATGCGTACAACAACATGTAAGTAGCACGCCCGCTCCCGTCGTACCAATTGTTTGATGTTACTGGGCCGATGCTAATAGCTTGCTCTGCAGCCACATTTGGACTGCCCGTCGTCCTCAGCAATAGAAGCTGGCACGACGCTTGCAGCGGTGCGTTTGGCGGGGGATAGTGTGGCCAGCGGTGTGTGTGTGTGTGTGTGTGTGTGTGCGTGTGCCTACAATTGCACATTTCGGCGACACGACACAACCCGCGCCAGGCAGTATCGACTAGTCTGGAACCAAAGCCCCGGAAGTTCTATGCAGCGCCTCGACGCACCCACGCCCCGTTACGCCTAGACGTTATTGTTTTCTTCTTTTGGCGCTTTCTGGATGTTGTGTATTCGGCAAAACATTCTTCGCTTCCCTTTGGCCGAGGGAAGCTCAAGGCCGGGCCGATGAAGCCGTTTGAGCGAGCCGGTAAACATGGGGGCAGTTTTCCGCCCTCATAGTTTACCATGCCACATTTGTTACGAACTGTGCAGTTTGGCTGCATGACGCCTTTCTGCTATCTACCGCCCCACGATGCATGATGCGCATGGGAAAAACTGGAGTTTGTTCACCTTTTTCCTCTGTATCTTCTTTGTTTTACATTTCCTTGTTTGCGGCGACTACCCGAGTCTGGCGTTACGGCATGTTTAAGAATATGATACCTCGGTTTGCTTATGACCCAAAATTCATGTCGTAGTAGTGTATTTGTCGAGCTTGGGCCGGCAGTCTGAAAGGTTTCTAGCGTGGGTGTGTTTGGCATGCCTGGCGGCAAAGTGGCTCGGCATGACGGTATAGGCGGATGTTGGGCCGACGCCGGTTTCAACGTTTGGGGCCCTTTTTTTTTATGGTTCTTCAGCTCGTTGACGAGCATAGTCATGTTTTTTTGTTAGCGGGCGACGGGGATGACGGATGTTTCCGACCTTGGACACGAATCAAGCAGCATACAAGACAGATATATAAGGATATATTGATAATAGCTGGCCGTGTAGCGGAGTCAAGTTTGTTCTAGGGTGATTTTGACAGTGTCTAGGCTGGCGTGTGCATGGGGGGGCAGAGGGGATTTGGGACCCAGGGTAGCGCGGAGGTGGACCTAGGCGTGGTGTGCATGTGCCTGCCACGCGTCGTTACCGAGTGGATGGATGTTTCAGGAGCCAAAAGGCAGCCATGGCATGAGGGCTCAGGTAAGTTGGGCGCGTAGGGTTTCAAGTGTGGCAGCGGTGCCGTGGTGGGCAGAGGCCAGGATGGCGGACCGATGCCATGGCATGGAGAGTGCAAGCGAGCTGCATGACGGCAAACAGGTGTCTGCTAGGCAGTGCTGCACGATGGAACTGACATGCAAGCAAGATCTCCGAGACGGGAACTGACTCTTGCACGGACAGGCATGCCAAGGGGAGCAAGTTTATCGAGGCCAAGGGCTGTGGGTGGGTGTATTGTAGAGTAGTAAGTTTGTAGAGTATATGTTATGTACTAGGTGGGCGTAGTATAGGGCAGAGGGTGGTGAAGTTGTTTTGGCGATCCGGCGCTGTGGGTCGGACGAGGCTTCTCCCGTCGCCCGCGCCTCCCCTCCCGCGCGAACGAAGGAACAGACACAGACGCAGACACAGACACGATGACTGTTTAAAAAAGAAACAAGGTCGTGCAGGAATGCGCGGCGTGTTTCGCGCGCGCCTCTTTGGGTTGGCAACTGCACACGCAGACACAGACACGGATACGCACACTCGCACGCACACGCACATACACAGCCCTCGTCGCCGTCTCTGGTTGCAACGGCGTTGGCAGACGGTGGCATTCGCTCTGGGCTGCAATGATGCGTCATGCCCGCCATAGTTGCTGCTAGCAGAGTACGGGTGACATGGAGAGGTCACGCATGGCATGGGCGTGGATTGCCCCGCCAGCAGCCCGCCAGCGATTAGCCGGGCCTTCTTCGGACGTCCGCCCGGCCTGTAGAGTCAACACCGAGCCAGCGATCGTCGAGCCCTTGTATTCTGTGTGGGCGACGCGTTGGCGACTGGGCCGGGAGACATCGGCAGACCATCCCCACGGAGACGGCATGCCCACACCTTCTGACCGCCACTCTGCCCATGCTGGGCCTCCGCCTCCGCCTCCGCCTCCGCCTCCGACTCTCGTTGCTTTTGCCCACAACCGTGCCCCTAAACACCTCGAATCACAACAACTCCATGCTCCCACCCTTCTACACCACCGGTGTGACTTGCCAGCACACACAAAATGCCCATGTCTGCTTGCTGCCACTCGCCATGGCCTCGACTCCACCCCTTCACCTCTCCCGTACCAGCCCAGAGGTTCGGCCGTCGACAAGCCCACCCCACGGTGCCACTGCCCTGCCTGTCCAGCCGCTCTTGCCTTACCACCCTGTCGGATAAACTTTGTCCACGCGCAGCGCATCATCGCCTCCTTCCAAATACTTACTCTCCCCATCCCAAGTAGCTAGACTACTGCGACGACGTATCAACGCCCACCGCTTGTCGCAGCAATTAGACTTCCGGCCGCTCCTACCGCGCAACCGTACAAACTCGTCTTGTAGCCGCCTGGTAAGTTTGCTGCTCCTCCTCCTCCTCCTCCTCCTCCTCCTCCTCCTGCCCTCCCCCGCGCCTAAATGATGACAAAGCTGGGGCCAGAAGAGTTCCTCTCTCCGGCTGCCCTCTGCAGCTGTGGGATTGCAGGAACCATGCTTTCAAACCCAGCAACTCTACATCTTCTCAACTTACCTGATACCAAATACCCCGCTACACTACTCGTTTCTGCCATTCTGTCATACATGACAAAGAACTTACCATCACTTAGTCAGGACCCGCTTTCGCCTCCAAACGACCGGCGCTACTAACAAGGCCATGGCAATGGTGCTATCCGGGCTTGGAAGCTGGGGCATTTGTCCAAAACTAGTCATGGAACAGGCCTTCGGACCCCTTCTTCCATAATCATCACCTAACCCGTTCTTGAACTAGGGAGTCCCATGGACAGGTTCAACATGTCTGGCAAAGGTCCGCTTTGGCGACCACTCCATGCTCGGCCCTAATCTCATGCCACTGAGGTACGTGTATATATTACCCTCTCTCTTTTCTTTTTCCCCTTGTGTCCAAGACGGACTATTTCTAGCCCCGGAAATAGTAGGTGTCCACCCTTTAAGTCTCCGGTAGATCCCGGGGTTTCATCCATGGCAATCGCGTGTCTCGCTTTTTAGTAATGCTTGTGAGCCGGTCCCAGATAGTTCGTGTTCTACGGGACCTAGTGTTGTGCATCTTCTAGTCTATTCTTCTAGCGTGTGTTGCCGAATTATTTCGGCATGTAATTCCCTCTTGCCACCCGCTAGTCTCTGACATGTTCGCTCTCGTAGTCATGAGTTGTGGGTCATGTTGATTTGTTGATTAGTATACTAGTTGGATTTAGTTTTCTCGGCAAAGTGTGAGTAAATTCACTAGTGTGGCTGTAGACTGCTTGTCGACACTAGGGCATAATGATCAAGTCACAAATTTGGTTTACTCCAGAGAATGTATTTGCCTGTGGCAGGTGAAGCATGTTCTCAGTTGCCAAGCTAGGAAAACAAGGGAAGGTACCTTTTACTCTACTTCACCACCCGTACTGCAATTGAATAGACACTGGCCTTGTGTATGTGTATGGAAGCTACATCGTACAATTATGACTGCTCGTATTCATTCCCATGCTGTTTCCAGAAGCCGTGTTACCCATGTGAATAATGTCGTGAGATGCCACCTTCGCAACTACTTTTCCCAACAGCAAAGAAGCAGCAGCTTCCCTTTGCTGCCACCTACCTCACGCATTCATGCTTCCAGGCAAGAGCATCTCTACACCAATCCCACTACTTCTACCCAGCCCAACTCTCTCTCTCTCTCTCTCTCTCTCCCATCTCTCCAAATCCCCAGCATCTGCATCTGCATCATCATCATCATCACACCACACCACCGCAACCTCTTAACCCCCCAAACACCAATATTCTTGTTTCATCACCGTTGAAAAGCTATCAAAAGCATCGCCATCATGGTCATCCCGTCAGTACAACAAGCTCAAGCTACGCCTTCCGCAGTCCTAGTCACTGCGGACCAAGTCACTGCAGGCCCAGTTACCGCAGAGGTTGAAGAAGCGAGCTCTAAGCGCTTCATCGCAGAGCTGCTAACGCATGGTCTGCATCTCGTATCCAGCATCGTTGTACTGGGTATTGTCATATATCTCATCTATGTATATACGCATACGGGACTTGAGATGTTTTTGTCTATGCTGGTAGGTTATCTTCATCCTCAGCCTCTACCTCGCAAGCTAACCTTTCCACCAGGCCTCCGTCGACATCGTCGTCTGCATCTTCGCCCTCTGCCACCTCTTCCACAAATCCTCGACGCCCGATCTCACCATCCCCATGTTCATCCTGTCAAGCTTGTGGCTCACAGCCTTCATACTTTCTTCTGTCGAATACGCTCACGAGCCGTGTATCCAGACTGAGGAAGAGGAATGGGTCAGTTGTCCGATCAAGAGGGCGCATATGGCGTTTGAGGCGATTGCTTTGTGAGTGCATCCCCGTGTTTGAATGTGCTGTTGCTGTGGGTGAGTGAGTATAAGGCTGATGTAAGGGTAGCTTTTTGAGTTTTGCAACTATGATGGTGGAGATTAGGAGGTGGAGGGGAAACAAGGGGGATGTCGAGGTTGTTGATGGGGGTGACAAGGGTGTGGGGAATGCAGTGGTTACGCCGGGGACGTCGAATACGGCTGTTTGAGGGTGCCATCAGTGTGGGTTAAAGGGAAGGTGATTAAGGGAGGACCTGGGTATGATGCGGAGATGTAGTTTGAACAATGGGATGGCACGTGTCGATGGACATGGTAGGGTTTTGGGGTGGTTTTCTGGTTCTTTCTTCTTTTCACATTGTTCTATCATGGATTGAGAGGCTGGACCTTTCTTGTCACTAATGAATCGATGAGTGTTAGCTCATTCTCCTAGATTATATTGATAAGATTTCAATTCTCCCATTTCTTCCTCTTCCATTATATATTCTTCGGTGGTGCTGGGTGTTGAGTTGAAAATAGTCATGATTATCTGTAAAGCTACAATTGATACCTCCAACAATCACACCAATGTCCCCATTCTTACCTTTTTCCAGTAAACTCCCCTCATCAAATCCACCCCCTCTCCAAAAACTTCACCGGAATCTCCACCGTCTTGGCCCGCAAATACTCCATAGTATTCTTCCCCAACGTATCAATCTCAGAACTAGCATTATACCCCCGATCCAACTGCTCATGCAACAAAAAATGCACCGCCCAAATCCCCTCAATCTCAAACCGATCAATCCTACCCCCCTTGTACTCTTCGGGTCCCAACAGCGCCTTCACCCGCTCAACCGTCATAAACGAGCGCAACCAATCCCACTCATCCTCGTTCCTTACAAAGAACCCACAATTGCAATCTGCAGCCTTATCTCCCGAACGACCGGCAACTATAGCGCCTAGCGGCGCTTCGGCCGTCGGACCGAAGGCAGAAAGATGCACTGGAGAGGAAGTTTCGTACGAATCCTGGTGTTTAGGATACTGCCTGGTGACCTTTGGTGCCTCGAGCACCTTGACTTCTTTTTCGTCATACAAACTATGAACGCGCAACGCCAAATGCGTCTGCGGCAGCAACGCGACCCAATATTCATAATACGGCTTCGGGACCACCTGCCGCAGGTCGTTTGTGAGAGAGAGGCCGGGCGCGCATTGCAGGAAGACTTCGAGACACCATCGGTTAAATGCTTGGGGCACGTCTGGGCGCACGAGATCCGCGTCCCGGGTTTGGGCGAAGATGCGCAAGTCGATTGTGCTGGCGTCGAGGGAGCGCGGGTTCGGCAGCGAGGACCCGATGGCGTGGAAACGGAGGGTTGTGAAGCGGGATGTGTTTTTTCCCATTGCTGTTTTTTTTGGTTTCGTCATCTGTCAGAATACATATATCTAGTAGGTAGTGGAAGGGGGATGGGAATACCATATCGGATTTGATCCTCAGTCACTTTACATTTCTCGGCTATATCCAACCCGGCCATGTACATGTGCCATTCGCACTGCCAGCCTGCGGGGGCCGTAATGCCGATTTTCGTAGTGGGAGGCGGAGGGAGGCCTTTCACGCCTGTGACGCGGACGACGTCTTCGGAGACTTGGTGCATGCGGATGTGGGTTAGGTCGGCGGTGACGTCGCAGTTGTAATAGAGGGGGCCTTGGATTTCGTAGAGGAGTTGCGAGGTGCATGTTCCGATTGTTACGCAGCCTTTTTTTTCCTTTTGTTAGTTAACTGAGATATGTTTATGGGAAAAGGGAAAAAAAAAATTAAGGGTGAGGGTTTACCGCCGCTGTCTTTTTCCTTTGCAATGTTGAAGGTGCCGTCGTAGTCGACCTCCGCGATTGGGAAACCCATATTGACATGTTTCCCGGTTTTGATGAGATCTTTGAACATGGAGTAGTATCCTCCGCAAACGTAGCTCGAGCACTCGATTAAATGCCCTGCAACTAGTGCTCCGGCGAGTTCATCGAATTGATCGTTTCGCCAGTCGTGCCACCACCTATTAAATCTGTCAGCCCATCGCCCCCCCCCTTTCCTCCACACATAAAACCAAGCCAAAGGAAAAAAAAGAGAGCACAAGAAAAACTTACGCAGCAGCCCCAACAACCGGCGCAGCATCCGCCACCCGTCCCGCAATAACAATATCCGCGCCCCCCCTCAACGCCTCCGCAATACACAATCCCCCAAGATACGCCTGTGCACAAACAGGTTCCATACCCCACTCCTCCAACTTCTTCCCATGCATCAAACTCTCAAACTGCTCGCCGTCTTTAATCAGATTCTGCACCTGCTCCGTCACATCATCGCCTTCTACCCACGCGACTTTCAAATGGCTCGCATCGTGTTTCGCAAGCATGTCGACGACGACTTCGGCGAGCAGCTGGGTATCGGACGCGCCCGCGTTGACGGCGAGTTTGGTTTTGTTGCAGACGAGATGGGGGATGGCGGGCTCGAAGCATTGGAGAAAGGTATCTGCATACATTGCTGTTTTCATGCGGTCTTCAAGACTCTGGGTTCCATTTGTCGTGCTGGTTTTGGATGATTTTTGGTTTTTTACTTTGCCGCTGCCGTGCAGGGTCATTGTCATCTCGGAGAGCCAGTCGCCTATGTATAGCGCGTTAGTTTATAGTTTGCTGGAAGATTGACTTTTTTTAAGCGGGTTATTATACCCATTACTACGTCGACGTCAGGGTCACTGGCCATACGTGTTATGGCGGTTGAGCGGTCGGTGAAGCCGCCGGAGCAGCCTGCGATGCGTATGGCGCGTTTGCGGGTGGTGGAGGGAGACATTTTGAGGCGCTTTGGGTTTGGGGCCGTATTTTCTTCAGAATAGACTTGCTCAGTCATGTGTGAGACAGATTGGTGGGAAGAGTCTGTTGAATGAGGATGGAAGGCTTTCGATGTTTATATACCGAGTCCTTTCGTATACACAAGGCAACCCATGCCCATTTTACTAGCAATTACATTTGAGACTGGCCAATGACGGCCTTCTGCTCGTAGAGTTTTTGACGTCTCATCATCGTATCCTGGAGTGCATTGCGGATAATAATTCACGATGGAAGATGATTTCCCGACTGCGGCAGCGGGGTTGCGGGGAAGACGGGGAATATTGCACGACCTTCGAATGACGAGGCTGCTGCTTCTGTACTTTTGCTTTAGAGTTATGAGATTTGTATGACAGGTGGGGAATGCCATGAAAATGGGTTGCTTCTTCAGATCAAATCTACTCATAAAGTAACATTATAACAGTGGGAGCGCAAGAGGAAAGCAAACTGCACATGGAGTTGGAGAAAGTAAGATCGTAAGATGTAAACATGACTCATGCTCTTGTTCATCGAAGGCTGACATGAATCGATAACATCACTAGCGTAGACCCTTCGGTTCGTACCATCTGAAAGTCCGGGGCCCGGGGTAATACCCGGGGGTCTTAGGTAAGTGTTCTTCTGATATGCTTCCGCAGCTACGATGGCCAACGCTTGGACATCTACTAGCGTATCTTCCTGTTCGTTTCCGTCAGCTTTGGTTTCCATATTCGTCTTCCAACTTGGCTTCAACTCTCATGTCACCTTTGTCATTTTTTGCACGGCTAACATGAGGGTTCAAAATCATCATCTTCGCTATTCATCTGGCCAGATGAGTCGGAGTAGTTGGTTTTCATCTCTATCCTCAGGTTAAGGGAAAGGGGGGTTGTAGCGTGAACGTGAGAGGTAAACATTCCATTGACATTTTGGGAGAGCTTGTTGATTGAGTTCATATGTCCGTACGGTTTGGTGAGCATGCAATACATTGCGATATTCTACTAGAGCGCCCATATATTTCGAGCGACCTGCAATTTTTCAAAGCCTCGTTGTGTGATAATGGAGAATATGGTGAGTAGTTGGCAAAGTCAACGTTTGGTATGTACTGAGAAAGGTGAGATTCAAAGGCTCTAGATCAGGGTGTCTCCGCGGTAAGTCACTTGGCAATTACTGCTAGGTGGACTTTGCGGGGAGGATGCATAAGTGTAGTTCGAAGATGGAGGTAAACTGTAAAATCTCTTCTGTGTTCGCGTCTCAGACATTGCAAGTGAATAGAATAGTGACAAAGGAGCCGTGTATAATGATGACTAATTAGTGTTGGCTTTCAGTTTCTGCATTTGGTTATTACAAGTGTAAGGCGCTCGGAAAGGCGCTTTGTAGAGGCGATGCATGTGACTCAGGGTAGGGTGGCAGTTCCAGCCCCCAATGTATACCTAACAGAGCGGCCAATTGCAGGCCGGGTCGATCCCGCCCCATTCCCAGCGCTTGCAGCCATGGCGCTGAACGACTGCACCTCAGCCCGTTCAGCCTGATAGAGTCACCATGAGGCTGAGCAGCAGGTAACGTCTGCCTGCACGGCAGTGTCAGGCCTTCTCAACCATCGCTCTCCCTTCATACTTCACCGTCTGATTCCTCTCACCTTTTCTTGCTATAATCACTCTGAATGGCCCAGCTTCCTCGGTTGTCTCGCGAGGAATATACTGTAGGATGGGTGTGCGCGCTCCCGATCGAGCTGGCGGCGGCGCGGAAAATGCTGGACGAAGAGCACCAAGACCATGAGCGCGAGAGCGACGACATCGATGAGAATCTATACTACCTAGGATCGATTGCTGGGCATAATGTCGTGATTGTATGCCTACCAGCAGGACGCATTGGCAATAACCCTGCGGCGGTCGTGGCGACGCAAATGAAGGCTACATTCAAGGGAATCCGATTCGGACTGATGGTCGGCATCGGTGGAGGAGTACCCAGCCCGGCGGCAGACATCCGGCTCGGGGACGTGGTGGTCAGCCAGCCTGACAAGACGTTCGGCGGGGTGGTGCAGTACGATGCTGGCAAGGCGACAGCGAGCGGGTTCGAGCGGACGGGATTGCTTAACACGCCACCGCAGGTACTGCTCAGCGCGGTTGCGAAGGTGCGAGCAAATGAATTCCTAGGTGAGAGCAGGATGTTAGAGCACATGAGCAAGCTGGAGCGCATCCCTAGGTTCCAGCGAAGCCAGGCGGGGCCCGACGTTTTATTCGACGCAAGATACGACCATGAGGGTGGGCAGACATGCGAAGGATGCAAGAAAGATCACCATAAAACTCGGAAGCCACGCGACGAGGAGGTCATGTCTCACTACGGGACGATCGCGTCGGGGAACCAGGTAATGAAGAACGCGGCAGAGCGAGACAGGGTCAGCGCGGAGCTTGGTGGGGTGCTATGCTTCGAGATGGAGGCGGCGGGCCTAATGAACAGCTTCCCCTGCCTCGTCGTTCGTGGCATCTGCGATTATGCAGACTCGCATAAGAATAAGAGGTGGCAGCCGTATGCTGCGGGAATTGCGGCGGCGTATGCAAAGTATGTGTTGTCCGTGATCCCGCCAGCTGCCGTAGCGAAGACTCGGACAGCGGAGGAGGCAATTCAGAGCGCACGGAGTTAGTGTAGCCATCCTGTTTCCTATATTGCAGCATGGCTAATAGTGCGATAGAGAAAGCAATCTACTCCATTCCATTCCTCCTCAACAAGTCCTTCGTTGGGCGAAAGACTGAGCTCAATGAATTGATGCAGAAACTCATGGTCGACAAGGCGTGCTACCAGATGTCGATTGTTGGGCTCGGCGGGATGGGTAAGACACAAGTGGCGCTCCAGTTCGCGTACATGGTGAAAGAGCGCTGGTCCGAGATGTCCATTTTCTGGATGCCTGCGCTGAGCATGGAGACGTTTGAGCAGGCGTGCGCTGAAGTAGTACGACTGCTCGGCGTACCCAAGGCAGCCGATGGCGAGGACGATGTGAAAGAGCAGTTTAAGCGGCATCTGGGCACGGTGCGGGCAGGGAAGTGGCTGTTGATCGTTGATAACGCTGACGATGCAGATATTGTTTTCGGTGGTGCTCACTCGAAGGGCGTTGTCGACTACTTGCCACAGAACGAAGAGGGTGTGATATTGTTCACCACACGAACGCTAGACGTAGTAGGGAAGCTGACAGGCAGCCATGTGCTAGAGCTTGGCGCCATGGACCGACAAGATGCAACGACCTTTTTGACTAAATCGCTGATCAACAAGGAGCTCCTTAGCGACAGTGCCGCCACAGCAGACTTGTTGGATGAGCTAGTGTGCCTGCCTTTGGCGATTGCACAGGCAGCTGCTTACCTAAACAGGAACAGGATGTCTATCCAAGAGTACTTGCGGCTACTACACAATACGGAGCTAGACCTTGTTAAGCTTATGAGCAGAGAGTTTTGTAATGACACCCAGTACAAAGGCACGGAAAACGCAGTAGCTACAACATGGGTGGTGTCATTCAGTCAGATCCGCGCACGCGATAAGGCAGCTGTGAAACTTCTGTCTTTCATGTCGTGCATTGAGTGGAAAGCGATACCGCGGTCTATTCTGCCTAGAGTGCGGTCCAGAGTGCGGATGACAGACGCTATTGGCACGCTCTGTGCATACTCTTTTCTAACAAGACGAGAGAACGAAGACGAGTATGACATCCATCGACTGGTACATCTAGCAACTCGGATCTGGGTTAGGCAGTACGGCGACACGAGAAAAGTGGTGGAGAAGGGTATCAGACATTTAGCCCGCATTTTTCCCTCGAACGACTATGAGAACTGGAAAAAATTAAGGGCGTATTTGCCACATGCGCTGCGGCTGCTCAAAGACAAGCAAGGCTATGTGGTAAAAGAGAGGTCAGAACTGTGTCTCTTAGTAGGACAATGTCTGCGGGCTGACGGGAGGATCCAAGAAGCAGTGAGATGGCTTAAGAAGTCGTGTGAACAGAGGAAGACACTCGACAAGCGCAATCCGAAGCGGCTACGTTCACAGCATTCGCTCGCTATAGCATACGAGGCCAACGGACAGGCTAAGAAGGCAGTAAAGCTATTAGAACACGTTATCAGAATACGAGTAGAATTGCTCGCAGAAGACCATCCCAGTCTATTAGCGTCGCAGCACGTACTCGCAATGGCATACGAGGCCA